AAAACACTAAATCCTACATTTCCCCCATCTTTTTATCAGACACTCTTTGTATGGTAAAACTCCCATGCCTTTCAGGTAGCATGCCCCCAGTTTATATCACACACTTTGCGTGAAATTTTCTAGTCTCCAAGCCCAAACTGAGTTTAAGCAGAGGTCATCACTGTGACATAATCGGGTTATTTTCTCAGACTCGACAGAGCTCCTCCAACGCCACAGGGCTGCAAACAGTAGCATAGCACAGTTTACCTCCTACAGTAGTCACCTCACCCAGTGTTACTTACAAAGCCAACAAGCATTTATACTACATCATAATACTTGAGTACAGGCTACATAAAAAATCCTGCCATAATAGCACATCCACTGTGTATTTGCACACTGTGTCAAAGCTTGGATGCTACTATATCAGAGTCTAGGGTGACTTAAAAGAAGAATTAAAGAGTCACTCAATCAGTCAGCTGATGTTAGGTTAATAAGCTAGCTAACCACAGCAGGTAAAATATGTTCGTGACAGTTGTAATTTCAGTGATCAAACCAATGGTTGCAAGCTAGAAATAAGAAGCCTGCTTTTGTTTACTTTTGTTTGAAATCAAGCACCAATTATTTAAAAAAAATATGTATTTTTTTATTTGCCTTTGTTATTATTATAACCTGTATATGGCAAGTGAGAATGGGGAGCTTTGCAGGTGAAGCAACAGTAACTAAGGGTGGGTGGAGCTAAACAAATGGTCAACTGATCTGTATCTCTTAAATGGGTGGAGTACCCCTTTATTGGACAGAGAAATGGCATCTTTGTTTGCTAAGGAAAAGTGGAACTAGTGCATGGTGAAAGAGGACACTATAACAAGTTCTTCATGCCTGCAATGATTTGTTGCAAACTTGTCCATAAACAGCCCTCTCAAATCTTAGCATTATGAAACCCTCATAGTTGGTCTCTGATTTCATTTAATTAATCATTAGCTAAACCAGCTGCATACCTGCAGCATACCTCAGTCATGCCTCATGTATTTACAGAACACAAGGGATTAAAGGTGAAGTTATATGTGCAGTACAGATGCAACCTTTCAACTGCCTAAATAATGACATTAGCCAAACAGCTTTCTCAGTGGCTCATGTTCAGATATGTTGGCTTGCTAAGATCAGGGTTGTCTAGTTAAAACCCACATTCCAAAGTCTGGTAGCGGGTTGTTGCCCGTTTGCTATAATCGACCACAAGCGCCATTCTGTGCTAGCCAACTGTGATTATTGCACTGTTGGCTTTATTGATAGACCACTGATGGTGCTCAGATATTCCTATAATGCAGCGGAGGTCAAGCAGTTGTGTATGTATCAGTACAATAATGTGAAATATAATTGGACCAAACTGGATAAAAATATTTGGATTTTAGAAATTTAGAACAATTACATTTTTATAAATAATAAGATAGCACTTATTATTTTTATAAATAATAAGATGGCACTTATTATTTTTATAAATAATAAGTGCCATCGTTGTTTGCACTGTCGCCTAACAGCAATTTCAATCCTGCCGGCAAACTTCTACGTGGAGTATTGGTGTTCTCCCTGTGTCTGCGATGTTTTTTTTTTTCTTCCATTGTGCATGTCAGTCTTGTGATAGTCAGACATCCTTTCCAGGGTGTGCCCCAACCCTCGTCCAAAGTGAACTGGGATAGGCTCCAACACCTCTGCGACCCTGAATAGGATAAGTGGCTGTGGATAGTGACTGAATAAAAACAAACATATATAGCTTACCCATTTACTGTATGTACATATATATATATTTGAAGTAAATTTTAAAAAAAAAAAGGAACAAGTGAGTGGAGACACATGCAAAATGATAATGTAGGTGACCACCATCATATTTCCAAAAATAGATTTATATGAAATTAAGTGTTATGGTTATTTGACTGCAAAGATTAACAGGGTAAGCAGCTGAGAGAATGGATGGAGGTCAGTTACATGACTCCGAAGTTTACTGTTGATGGTTTTTGGTGGCTTTCCCTTCTTAATATAATGTTAAATTAGAAATTTGAAACATTTGATGGTAGATTTTCACACAACATGTTTTGGAGCTTTGTATGGATTATATCAGTCAGCAATTAATACCATTAATTACTTCAGTGCTTCAGTGTGTGCCATGTACAGCCATTTACTGCTCATTTAGTTGTCTTTATGCAAACAAAAGTTTGAGAGTTTGTTATATCATCCAGCATTTTATTTTTAGTGTCACTGGGACAACTGGGAAAGTATTATCCTCAGCTCTGTGTGTAAATAAAACAGTGGAAACAAAATCAGGTCATTTGTTCTTTAACAAATGAGAAACATTGAGTATTTATATTGTGCCTTGCCTATAGGCCTCTGTAGCCAATTAGACGAGAGAGATAGAGAGCTGTGCGTCTGTGCTCTAATGAGCTATAATGTAGCTAGGGTTTTTCTGGGTATTGGGTCTCACAGTGCTGCTGTTCATTAGTATGAACTAATTTCATACTAACTTAGGCATCATCACTAACCATGGATAATCCTTATAGATGCATTTGTAATTTGTGTGTAAATGAACACCTGCTCCTGTGTGCTTACATATGTTGTTTTGCTGAGTGGGCTCGTAAACGCTGTGGTCAGGAAGCTGCATGCTTATACCATTTGCCACCAGAACAGCATCTCTTTGTGGTGTGTGTGCGCCTGTGAGTGGCCCTGAGGGACCGTCTTGTTCTCTTTGCTCAACTATAACTCGGTTGTCGTGTCTGGCCTTTCATATGCTGGAGATGGAGGGATGGTTTAGGTGAAAAGAGGTCTAGAAAGAGTGAAATAAGATGTAGAGCATCGCCTCCTCCTATGCGAGGCTGCACTGCAAGAACAACCCTTGTGTCAACAATAGAGGCAGACGTGTGTGTGTGTGTGTGTGTGTGTGTGAGAAAGTGCTTTGAAACATCCACCTGTATGCCCTTTTTGCATAATGTTCCTCTTTATGACAGTGTTTATGTGCTTGGGAGGAGCAAAGCATTCAGAAAGTGCTGTTTGAACATGAACAGATTCTGAAACTTTTGTAGGCATTTTGACCTCACAGACTCTTACTAAAGCTATTGTTGATTAGATTTTCTCATTGGGAGTTGGCCCCTAAATTCAGAGCTGGCAAAGATAGAGAAAGTGTGTATACACTAGACTCGTGCCTCATGGGAACTGAAACGCGAGACTGCCGCTCTTTCTCGAGACAGTTGATCCTTTGTTTTGGTTTTAGAGATGGAGAGGGGAGTGGTGGGGTGCGTACCTGTCAGAACCTGAGAGCCTGAATCTTTATCAGCCACCTGAATGGATATTTGCCCAGATTACTCACACACACACACGCACACACACACACATACTCAAAGAAAGAGACACACAGGCAGGGGAGAAGTATTCAGTGTAACAATGCCAGCGCTTTATTTATAGAGCACTTTCATCTAAAAACAGAGTTTTACAAAGTGCTGTAAAAACATCAGAAAGTGAGGAATGCAATAAAGGTGAAAAAGTTGAAGACATATTCAAAAGAAAGATGTTGGAAAATAACACCGCAAATAGACAAAAACCTGGATAAGGGACTGACAAGAAAGAGAATGAAGGTCACAAAGATGTTAATGTTTAGCTGTTTGTATTATGCTGGTTAACTATTAGGGAGCCAAGGTCTAGTTTTTCCCTCCCTTACCTGGCCAGCCCTTGGTCTCTAGTGTTACAATCCGCCATGTCAGGTTAAAGTCTATAGCAGTGTACACACTTCCTCCAAAAAATGTACATAAAAAAGGCCGGGTTTCAAGGCATCCTGGTGACTCATGCACCTAAAATGTGACCATTATATGCTTCAATCAATTGCAAGTCAGAAGTTGATCATTCCAACTGAGTATTCCCGACTTCTGATCTAAATGCATCCCAGTGCATTTCATTCAAATTCTCATTCAAATAACATACAACAACTCAAAATTGTGTCAACGGGTGCCGAGCATAATAGTGTTAACCACCACAACCAGTAGCATAAAGTTGTAGTGTGCATACCTTTTGTGTGTTCGGAGACAGATATACACATGCTTGCAAAGACTTCGATCAAGCACAGATCAACTGAATGGAAGTGGAAATGGCTTCAACGATGTTACAGCAATAACTGATGAAACTGACATACTGCTCAGTTCACTGAGTGTGCTGCCATGTTGCCGTGACATCAGGTGTGTTTATGCCAATGAACTCTGGTTAGATGGACCTTGCCCGAGTTTCCGACTTGAATGACAGCTCCGTTTCACTTTTACATGTTCAAGGTAGTTTTTTCCAAATTCTGGGTACGATGCATTAAACCATGGACTGGTTCATCATGTGACCTTTTTTTGATATTTCAAACCTACTCTGTTTCTTACGTGAAACAGAAATGCCAAAAGAACTTAACAGGAAGTTTGACTTTTTGAGAAATATGCAAATTTGCCTTCTAGCTGAGCATTAGATGAGAAGATCAGTACCACTCTCACATCTGTCTGTTAGATATAAAGCTACAGCCGGGAGATGGTTAGCTTAGCTTAGCATAAGGACTGAAACAAGGAAACAGTTAGTCTAACTCCCTCCTCTTCTGTCCTCTCAACTAACACATTACCATATGTTAGTTATTTGTCAAAAAGTGCTGATGAAGGGCTGTGAGTAAGACTGAGCATCCGTCTGGCTGCTGTGGCATTTTGCATCAGTAAGACCTGAGGGGAGTTCTGAGGATCAGCGTCTTGTGTGTGTTCAGCACAGACACCCTGCAGCGGTGCCTCAGGCTAAGAGCTGCTCTGTTGCAAAGCATTATTCACTCCTGAAGCTACATGATGCAACAGAGTGTCAGCCTGAATACCCTGATGTGTAATTAGCGTAGTATGATGATAATGGAAAATTAATCAGATTTTGTTAATGTTTGTCCTCTTTGTTTCTCTCTTCCCTTTCTTTCTTCTCCATGCCACATCTTCCTCCTCTGTACTTCTCTGTCTCCACTTCCTCTATCTTTTGTTTTGCAGAGGAAGCTGATTACACAACGTTTGGTACGGACTCGCTGACCAGGAAGAAGAACACAGTGCTTTCAGCGGTTCTTCTACGGCCTGACACCAACAGGAAAAAACCACCAGTGATCATCAGCCTGCCAAGGGACTTCCGCCCCGTCTCCTCCATCATCGATGTGGACATCCTTCCTGAGACACACCGACGCGTTCGCCTGTACAAACATGGTCAGGAAAAACCGTTGGGCTTCTACATCCGTGATGGCTCCAGTGTGCGGGTCACTCCACAGGGCCTGGAGAAGGTCCCAGGCATATTCATCTCTCGCATGGTGCCTGGTGGGCTGGCGGAGAGCACTGGCCTATTGGCAGTCAACGATGAGGTGCTGGAAGTTAACGGTATCGAGGTAGCTGGAAAATCTTTGGACCAGGTGACGGACATGATGATCGCTAACAGTCACAACCTCATCATCACCGTCAAGCCTGCCAACCAGCGGAACAATGTTGTTCGCAGTGGAGGAGGAGGAGGAGGAGGCACGGCGTCCGGTAGCTCGGGACGCTCGTCAGACAGCGGTGCCAGCTACTACGGCTACTCATCGCACAGTGGGGTTGGTGCTGCGGCCTCCATGCCATCACACATCATCCAGAACTTCCCAGTTGGGGAGTTGGAGAGCGACGAGGACGACGAGGACCTGGTGATCGAGGCAGGGGGTGAGGCTGAGCCCATCAGACGCGCCCCCTCCAACTATAGCATGCCCTCGCTGCCTCGCTACGAGCCGCACCTCAACCTCCGCACTGCCGCCACCTCAGCCTCTGCCCTCTCTTTCAACGCCAATGGAACCCTGCCAGCCAGCGGCAGCAGCGGATCACTAAGCAACGCCAATGCCACTTCGACCACACCGTCCCCAGACAGAGCAAATGAGAGGCGGAGTCTTGAGGAGGAGGGCACTGTTATAACTCTGTAGGCATTCACACGCTAAACACTGGAAACCAGAGAGAGACAAAAAAACTCATACTTTTATTCACACTTGTGGGAGTCATGGATCAGCTGATCAAACACGGGAATATCCTGCACCATCATACAGCGACTGTACCTGAGAAGCACAATGAAAAGTGTACATATTAAATCACAATGTACATCCTAACATTTACCCATCAAACACTGCACTCCATACTTTACATGCCAATGACCATGTGTGTGTGCCATAGTGGTGATGCCCCCCTCCCACCTCGCCAGTACACAGAAAGTGTAGTATGATTTTTATGCCCTCCACTTCATCTCTAAACCACTACATGCACCTGTTTTAAACCTGGAAAATGTTTTTACGCTGAGCTTCCACAAGAGAGCAGAGATGAGACTCCCAATCATCAGTCCCATGAATAGATGAAGACTGAAGTCCTGTGAACAAGTTAATTCCACCCAGTGGCGTCCTCAAGGGGGGCCATGGCCCCCCAGTATAGTTGCTCCTCCCTCTCACTGGCCCTCCTGCGAAAATAATTGGAGGCCGACACTACTGTCTTAAAGAAGCTGTGGAAGCTGCGTGAAGGTAGTACTATCTTGTAGGCAAAGAGCCAGTATACTTCAACAGCATAATTGAATTTCTGACTTTCAGGCTTTTGGTTTTAGTTTGCCACCCCAATATTTTCAGTGGCCCCATCTGGCCGGCCCTATGAAAAATTTCTGGGGGTGCCACTGAGTCCACCCCACCATTACAAACAGACATTGAAGCTCAAGCATTTGTTGACAATCTGTGGTTGTTTTTTGCCTCGTCACCCCACCCCTGCACCACACTCTGACCGCCTCCCTTTCCCCAGGTGACCACAGCATTCTTTTAGTAAATGGTTGCGGTACTTTCCACACAATTCAGTACTGCAACAGTCGACCAAGTGCTGAGATCTGCAATAATACTGTATTTTTTTTTTAATTGAGGAGAAACCACCGAAAAAACAAGTCTGGGTTCTTTGTGTTGACTCAGATGCTTTTAACCATGGTTGTTAGCGGTTCTTCTTCTTTTTACCTGCTGTGTTAATGACTGATAATGAAAGATTGATGAATTTGGTAATTTTTGGGAGCAAGTTTTAAATATCCCTTTACCACCAGGCCTGTGTTTTATATTATTTGAATGTTTCTGTTTCTTTTTTTAACAGTACTTGTACCTTGCAGATGACTGTATGACCAGTTTCCATCTGACCTATTGGAGGTTTCGAGTCACTCCAGAAAAATTGCTCCTAACAGGAAATGAAACATACTAGAATTAATTTCGTATTTCCTTCATATTGCACTCCCTCTCCCTTCCACGACAAGGGCTATTTCCCCTGCTGCATGTGTACAAATGACAAAATGTGAATGTGATTTAATATGTTTTGTTTGTTTGTTTTCTCCCTCTTCATTCTTTCTGGACCGTGACTCAATATATCGTATCTCAGTGCTGTACAATATATTCTGTATGTCTGTAGTTTTCTAGCCAGAAGTTCACTTGGATGTGTCCTGAGACATTCACATATGAAAAGTGTTCTCTCCAGTATTTCTACACCATTAACTTTTTTGTATCTTCATTCTCATTGAATTAAATTAATGGCGTACTAGGAGAGAATATAATGCAACAACTGTGTTAAGAATGCTACCAAATGACTTTGACTTTTGGGCCTAAATGGCAGATTGATAGCTGGACTGTAACACTGTTAGCAAGTAGAGCTGCAAAAAAGAGTTTAAATGAGTGATACATACAGTTACGAGAGAGAAACCACCCATATCTCAAAAATAAGCCCTGGTTAGATTGAGTCATATTTAAACAAACACACATTGCAGGTACACTGGGCACAAACTGATTCACGTAGTGTATTTAATAAAGGTGAGGCAGGTCTGTGTTATGTACAGTATGTTGGCATTTCCATTGCAGCTGTTCCCCTGAGCAAGAAAAAAAAAAAAAAAAAACGATTAGGCCTAAATTTGAAAATTCAAATATCCATTTTTATGTTGTCTTGAAAGCTGCACTTAAGAAAAAAAAACCCTCACAAGCCTTTTGACACTTATTTGTGACTCTGGGCAGTATAAATATTATTGACTTTGCTTAAATGATTTTTTGGCCGTGGACCTAGTCAGCCTGGACCCTTTTTTCCCACGTTTGTGTTTTTAAATTGTCAACATGGGCGGATTATGACACAATGGGCCCCTGGGCCTGGACATGTAAAAGGCCCCCCTACACCCCCCCAGGCAGGAACAACATGCTGTTGTTTGTCCCTGCAAAGTCCAAGTCCTTTTGATGAACTGCAGGGATTTACACTCACTTGAAATGTATCATGATGGGTTTTTTTTCTTGTGACATTTTTCAAGTAAATGTATAGACTATTCCTTCATCATTTTTGGGACTTTTGGGGCTCTGTTATTGAATGACCAAGCCATTTGACAAGAAATGCAAAGTTAATAACAGTGACTTTTTGCAGAAGTTACACCCATGACTATCGAGAGAGACCGCTCCAGTCACAGCAGCAAAACAGGCTGCAGTGTAATTCCTATGGGCAATTGTGTGCTCAATTTACATCGATTAAAGTGCTTGTTTTTGGCACTGACAGGTTCAGACTGTTATAATAAGTGTCTGACAACATTACGGGAAAGTCCTTACAAGTCCTTTTGCCGGTCTGTGTGTTAGTGGGTGCGGTTACGTGATGGCTTCTCATTCGGAAATAAAGTTTTTCAAGGTAGTTTACATGGGAAATATCCATTCGGAATGAGGGTTTACATGGGAGATCAGTTTAATCGCCTTCATTTGGGTCTGCACAAGGTTTGGGGCAGGGAAGGTTTCTGATTGGATAGGGGCGGGGCGGATGTTACTTGTACCGGAAGAAAACACTGTAGTCCTTGCTCCGGATAACAAGATGCTTGACGCCGCCATTCTTAGTGCCTTTTTCGGGCTTGTTTTGCTTATGTTCTTGAAGCAGCAGTACGACAACAACCATGTTCTGCTAATACTTAGTTTGTTAAGGAGGAGAAGAGAGGTAGAAGGTCGAGGAAGGGAGATAGAGGACCATGCTGTGGTGAATGGAAACCGGTGAATGCAACGAGTCCGACTGCTCTATCTCAGCCCGTTGCTATGCATGCTGTATACGTCATTGCTCCATAAGGGCAAGGAAACGAGTATGCGCAGATAGAATGGAATGGCTGGAATCGGGTAGGAGGTGTATACAAGACAGAAAAATTCTTCCATTCGGGTTCTGAAAAGGAATATTCCACCCCTGTGCACCCGATTAGATTTTCTTTAGGGTTTGATGTTTTCATTCGGGTTGAGGTGTTTACAAGGAGCATTTCTATTCGGGTAGAGCTTCCAACCCGAATGCAAAAGGAATACATGGCTCCATGTAAACGCACGTATTGTGACCAAGTCTTGCTCAAGAAGATTCCTTGTTCTGTAATCTTAAGAGAGGTGGCGTTTTGCAAGAAACACAACAGTGGAAATGTTAGTGAGAGCTGGAGAGAAACAGCAGTTTCTTGTGTTGGAGTACAGAAAGTGTAGCTTAGTATTATCTACAAGATGTTCAATGTCATGGCTGAATATTTGACTGGACAACATGAAAAAATCCCTGAGATTTCAGAACAAGAATTCTTGAGCGAGACTTGGTAATGCACGCCAACAAACAGACCGAATCATTGAAAGGCAAAGAAAAACATTTCATTCCTCTCTAATAATAACAGTCACATCCTGTCAGTGGCAAAACAAGCACTGTTGATGGACTTAAATTGATGGTGCACAAATGTCTGTAGGGATTACATTGCAGCCTGTTTAGCTGCTGTGGCTGCAGCTGTGTCTCTCAATACTGCACCAATTTTGAAAAATAGTTGTTTCCATTAGTCATTTAAGCCCTGTTCCCCTGGGACTAGTATTACCTGGGGACTTCTGCTAACTTCTAATAATTGCGGAGGTTATCTGAAATCCCGTGTGAATCTACCATGTCTGTAAATTGTCAAGTAAAAATTCCACTGCAAATTATCTACCATATTTTGCCAAACACAGAGGTCATGTGATGCTGTTATTCCTGTGCGAATGCCCCACACCAAACACGGATGTAGGGGGGTGTAATCTCTAAATCTCATGCGGTCCCCAGGTAATACTAGTCCCATGCAATTATGGCTTTAGACACAAAAACATGGGAAAATAAGGTCCAGGTTCAAAAATAAAGTTTTCATTTGATCTGAATTCACCAACAAGTTTTCATAGTGCAGCTTTAAATTGTAGTTGAGGGTTTTTGCACTTAAATCCAATTAATTTGCTGATGAAATCCCTCAGAAAGGTGTGCTCTGATCACATGCCATGAAAACTCTGTCCACAGAAAGAAGTAAATCAGGTACTTTCAGTACCTGTTCTTGAAGCGGATCCATAACATTTATTCGAAGTATGTACATGCTGCTGCTAACCACCTCCCTGAAGTGAGAGCACATGTCTGTTATTTCTCTTATTGATTTTCAGCATTTGCTCTCTTGCTAAAAGTGATACCACTGACTTCAGCACAGATTTTATCTCACTGGCAAAAACATGGTGGACACACACACACACACACACACACACACAAAGGCACTCTCAGTAATGTCTAATGGCTTCATCGGAACCTACATGCACTTGTTTTGAAATACAGTACATTCATACAGCTCACCATCACACTAATGTTCATCCTTTGTAGTTCTATTTGTTTGAATATCTGATGAGCCTATCAGGCAGTGAATATCTATGACTGGAAACCAACACACAGGTCATGTGTGTACATCCACTGTTGTATTTCAAGCTCTATGTATAAGGTACTGTCTTTTTGGCCTTTTATGGTACACAGAGTGCTGGTGGGATCCTGTCGTCTTTCATTCCCAACATGGAACAGTAATGAATGGTACTCTGAATGGAAGACTTTTAGAAATCAATGTTAATTTATTTTCTTAATTTCTAACTTTACCACAGGACACTGGGATTGTAACCACAGCGACATTATTTATTCTCTAATCATGTGTCTGCATATTTTCTTCCTTTGTACACATTTTATGACTTTATTTTTTATAACTGATATGTTTTTGTTTATCCGTGATTGTTGTTTTGGTCCTAAATCTCATGGTAGATGTTTTTGCCCAATAAGAGATGATTTCAGTGATTTTACTGTTCTGGCTGAAGCAACAGGAGAATCTGTGCAAGACGTGACACTATTTTTTTTTTTTTTCATACTGTGAATTATCAATATTATTTTGTGAAAGAGGAACAGTTGTGTTGGCACAACCTCAAAACATGCTACTTTGCTTTGAGTCAGATTTTTTTTAAGTGATCGAGCAATGATTTTTGCTTGCCAGATAAATCTTATCGTATAGATTTGTAATGAAGATTGTCAGTATTTTCATATCGATGCTATATATGATGTACATTTTTATCACATTTAATGAAAAATGTTTTAAGATTCAACTGGAGATGTATGAGTAAATAGATGTAAACCTGTAATTGCTGATTGGAAGAGCTGGATAAAATAAACTAATATGTAGCAATCTTCATTATTTGTTGTCTGTCAATGTATAGAAACAGCTGAGAATGAAAATGTCAGTGCTGAACCTGCTCTTCGGTAGCACATGAAGTATTACAGGAAAAACGGGGTTGGTCGTCAAGCTCTTTATTTTTATTTGAACCCCTCAGGTGGGAGTGGAGTGACCTTTTTCTCCTTAAAAGCTTATTCTGATTAAAATATATGAACTGTCAAATATGTCTTGTACACTTGTGACATTATCTAGTCTTTAAAACGAATTTAAGAATTTTATTTTGTCAAAATGTTATATTGCATTGCAGCAATCTAACCAACTCATGCATCAGGAGACATTAGCAAGAAAATCACCCCTATAAGTGCATTTGTCATTCCGCATTAATAACAAATGAAACAAGAAACAATACATGTGACGACCAATGCTGAAGAGAAATTATGACAAGCACCCCTACCTGTGATTTTTTTTTTGCCAGCAGCTAAGCTAACAACCACATGTTGTAGCCTAAGAAATTAGAGCTCTCCCTTCGTATTGTTTAATGGTAATGATTATTTTATGATAAACCCATTGTGTAAAAGCCTAGAGGAGAAACACAGAGGAGCTAGATATTACCATTTTGACATAAAAACACTTAAGATATTTGTTTCAACACCCATACTACCATACTATATAGTATCCCAGAAAAAGACTTAATATGACCCAATACATAGTATGTTATATGAAGTATATCAAAAATACCAAAATCAGACTGGATGTAGTAGAACATCTGGTCTGATTTTGGAGTATGCAAGCCAGCATGCTTTTCTGGCTATTCTGACCCACAATCCTCTGCACAACAGATGATGCATCACATCCACTGAGCTGCAAAGAGCTGTTCCACATGTTAGAATCTACAGTCTATGCAGTTCTAACTTTAAAGTTAAACTACATAAATTGCAATGTAACAACAGCAGAGCTCTCCTGGTTCATCTCCGTCTCTCTCTCTCTCACTCAGTAAGTGGCATTTGTTTTATCTCCAAGGTAATGGATATAAAAGCAAGAGGGCAAGAAGTTCAGGGTGTAATGTTATGAGAAATAAGTATGTCCAGATTGTGTGTGTACATAGGGTAGCTGCAGCACCTACTGAAAGTAAAAAAGTATGGGATGCGAAATGCACCCTATAAGTCCTCTCACCTCAATGTCATGTGTCCTACTCCTGAAATGATCCTGTAGGTGACCTCTGACGCCACTTTTGAAAATTTCAGTACCAACATTTTTCAACAGTATCCTCTAGGAAGTGAGCTTTAATGAATGTCACAACCAACCCTGTTCTCCCCTACAGACGTGGTAGATAAACTGGCCAGTTGTTCCTGTAACTTCATTGTGGTGTTTTAGTGCCACCTGCAGGACATTTCAGGGACAGCGTTTCTCTTCTTAGGGAGCGCTTGATTTGCCACAGCGGTGAAAACTGCGAACTTTTGCTCAACTCACGTAACGTGGGCACGTTTGCGCACTTCTACGCTATATTTAAGCGGACACGTTTTTACAATGTTGGGTTGAGACGGTGCATACATTTTCCATGAGTTCACTGCGGGACCCTTGAACCCCAATTTGGAGGTAACCCACTGCTCGGGGTGCTGTTGTCAAACCCCAGACAGCTGAGAATCACGTGACATGACGTGTCGGCAGCATGGCGGCGCTGAGCTGAGGTAGCGACTCGACTGGACTGACACCGATAGCCTGGCTTTCGTTAGCTTTCCTTGTCACCTGCTCACTCGCAGGGCCAGGCCGAAAATGACGGCCTGAGAGAGAAGCTATAACAAGACCAAGAGATGCAGCAGCAACAACAACAGCGGCCACCACAGCAGCAGCAGCAGCAGCAGCACTCACAGTCGAAGGCAGAAAACAGTAAAACCAAGAGCATGTTTCTGTCCAGGGCGCTGGAGAAAATCCTCTCGGATAAGGAGGTGAAGAGGAGCCAGAACAGCCAGCTGCGCAAAGCCTGTCAGGTGGCGCTCGGTACGTGGGTTTGTTTTGTGTACTGGTTTGCCTTGCCCCGTGTTTTATGCAGTGCTTCACTGAAACATTTCGGTCGTGTCTGGCTAATTTGAGTGACAGGGGGAGCTACCCAGTTAGCTAGCGCTAGCGTTAGCATCTGAATGGCCTTCATCGTCTTTTCAGCTGTCGGTTGACGTTTAGAGGTAGCGTCAGTTAATTGTGTGTTGGCGTCGCTTTCACATCATATTGTTAATTCAGTTAACATTCTGCCTTCACGCTGCACCATCACCACTGTCAACGTCGGCAGGTAAACAAGCTAATTAGGTAGCTGTGGTTAGCTAGTTGAAGCTAGGTTAGCTAGCTAAACAGACCAATCCCTGTGTTGTACGTAGCACTGTCACCCAGCCAGACAGCCCAGTCCTGCTCTGCACCCAGACACACAGGCTACCTAACTCCAGGATCCTCTGACGCCCGTGCTTTTCCATTCAACACAATCACGGATAGTGTTACACACAGCAGGCTCCTTACTTCATTGTGATATTGCTGTTTTTATCTCAGCTCAAACTGCACCCACCTCCCTGTCATAGTGTTGTTGTGACAACTCAAGATAATTGGTACAAAGCTTGTGATTCTCAGACAGTGGACCGGTACCGAACAGATACAATTACTTTGTATTTCAGGGTTGTTTTTGCCCAGTGCTTCTCATGGGCTCAGTGCAGGTGGTTGCATGCAATAAGTAGTTTACAGGAAGGTACTGTGCAGCACCACAGGGTTGACTGCAAAGAAATAAATGTCACTGAGAGGTGGGCAAACAGGTTGGTGTGTTTGAGGTGCTTTGTCTGCTCTCTGTCCCTGTCTGCCTGTGACACTCTCTCATTATTCATGATACAACACACCTACTGGACTCCTCACACTGCTGATGTCGGCTGTGTTGCTTGGTCATTCTGACTGTTTGGTGTTTTGGTGAACTCTGTGCAAGCATCACAAACATATTATCTCTTCCAATGCTCTTCTGTTTAACTATCGAAGTTGTAATGCTGTGGATTGCAGGCCTTTGCATCTATTGCTTCCATGATTAAATAGGTGTACTGCAGAAAGAGAGATTAGTTGTTAATGGCTGTTTTTAAGTGAAACACCAGAGCTCAGCCAGATGACTAAATAAAAAGAGTGTGAGTGTTACGAATAACTTGTCTATATTTAGGTCCAGCACTAATTTGTACGCCATGGAGAAAGGGGCTGAGCTCCCATTTTTATCACATGAAATGACAGGTCATGCATTCCTGGTAGTTAATTGAAAAATATCTTTACCACAGCAATGACTGTGACATTTGTGGTGAGTGTTGCTCGAGCTAACTTCCTTTGTGTAGGTTTGTGAGTTTGTAAACTGAATAACTGTGGGTTGTGGGCAAAACAAGACATTTGAGGAGAAAGTCATCTTGTGCTTTGGGAAACACTAATCGACAATTTTCACCATTTTCTGATATCTTTAAGATCAAACAACTAGTCAGTTAATTTAGAAAATAATTGACAGATAAGTCAGCAATGAAATTAATAATTAGTTGTAGCCCTGTAGCTGAGTAATGTGTGTGTAATGCGTCTGTAAAAGTATGAGGAAGAGAAAATGGATTTAAGGAGAGAGGATAGCAACAGATGGTGATGCAAGGGTTAAGAGAAAGACCAAAGATCTGATAGAGGCTGGTCAGTTGAATCAAATGTGATTGGCAGTAAAATATAGGGGCATTCTCAAATTAAATCCTGCTCAATACACAATAGTGTATTTTGACCAAACACATTTGTTTTCTACCAGTTAATATGCAACAAAACAAAATGTGCCCTGCTGCAGTCAGATTTGTGACTGGCTCAGTGACCCCCAGATCGAGATGTGACGCTCAAAGGGTCAAAGTTGAGACATTAGTAACATTTAATCTCCTGTGTCTCCCTCCACAGATGAAATCAAGGCAGAGCTTGAAAAACAAAAGTAAGTATCGTTATGCATCCTTCTCCCTAAATGAATGAATGAATGAATGAATGAATGAAAGCACAGCAGCAGTGGGCTCTTTTCTTTTCCTTCTTGTCACGTGAGACAAGAAGAAGTCGAGTGAAGGTTTGCCCTGAAGCAGTCTGCAGTAAACCCCACTGCTCACTGTGATTTGTGACTAAGGTAATTTGCTGCTTTTCTAACTGCTACTTTGGAGTATATCAGCAGCACTTCAGACAGCCTTCAGGTAATTTATCCGCTGCTAAAGGCAAGCCGTTATTTAACAATATGCCGTTATGCTTTTTTTAGAGGTTTAAATGCTCTGCAAAATTCTACACCATGAAAGTATAAATGTACAGTTTAATGTTTTACACCGCACTTTATCTGTTCACATCATCTACAGAAGGTGCCATTAAGTGTCAGTGGGACTGTGTTTGTAGCTCACACTGCTGTTTGCTGTCCTCTTCCCTGTAGGGATGGCACAGTGGTTCCACCCAGAGCCAACTACATCGAGGCTGACAAATATGTCCTGCCCTTTGAGTTGGCCTGTCAGTCAAAGTCCCCCCGGATAGTTAGCACCTCTTTGGACTGTCTGCAGGTTAATATTCACTGCCACACACACACACACACACACACACACACTGGCCTGTGCACATGAATACAGTTAAACATTTCTGCTCCCTTCTTGACTCTTTCACTTTCTCACAGCAGGTATTTATTGGTTGTATTACCCATCTGGTGGCTGCAGGGGGGTGAAATCTTGTTCCACCTGTTTTATACCTCTGCCGTTCACTTGGAACAATGGCTCTACATTCCACATTTCATACAAGCACACAATCCATCCTTTAATGTGTGCTAGCTTTTCATTGTAGCTACACTCTGTGTATTTATGGGGTTTTTTTCTGCATATGAGTTTGAAAGACGTGGGCATTTATAGTACCAGGCAGGGAGCATCTAGTGAAGGATGCTAGAGGATCAGCAATGTACTGCTGTGCACCTAAAAAAAATAATTTTAGTTTAAGTGTATGCTATTTTATATTATTTTTCACTGCTTTACCTTGCCATCAATCACGTTTTTTTGATATGGAACTGAAACTAATATCACTCTCTTCAAAGCCAGTCTCCATTGAGAAAAACAGTAATTTAACATCACCGAACACAGGAATTGCTGCTCTGCTGCTGCTTCGATCAGTTAGTTTGTTTATTTTTATGTGGTACTTTGGTGTTTAAAAATGTCAGTTTGAATTCCCCAGTAATAGGAACTAGTTAACTGATAGAAGCAACAGTAGACCATTAGACCTCTGGAGTTCAGCTAGCCAAAATTGCTGTTTTTATCAATGGAGTCCAGTGTCTTTGAGAAGAGCATAGATGAGGAACTAAGGCGTTTAACAGCTTCTCTGTTAGACTGTCTGAAGGTAAGATAAACTATTCTAAAGTGTTCTTAATATAGTGTTTGTTTGAACTGATGTTGATTTTTGTAGGTGGAACTTCTTTCAGGTGGCTGAAATTCATTTTGTTGCTGCCCCCTGTCACAGCAGTACATTGCTTAGCTCCTGTCAGCAATCCTGCTGCCTCTCCACACTGGGGGCAACTTACTGCATCAGCTGGGCATCAACTGTATGTAATACACTGACTGTGGATAGGTACCTCATGCAACCCCACTTCAAAAGATCCAAACTATCCCTATAAGACCAAAGACACACAAAAATGAACCCTGAATTTCTCTGTTTCTCACAAGCTCACAGTTGAGCAAAACAAACATACAAGTGCCACTAAAATAAACACTAAACTCACACACGTACACCTCAGTACAAATGCAGAGTCACACGCTTGCAGGAAATTTTGTGCAGCATACCCCACAAAATCACTTTTGAATAACACAGAGACACCAAGTTACTCCTAACCTAACCCGTGCACTGTTACCACACTGTAGAAGCTGATCGCGTACGGCCACATCACAGGCAATGCCCCGGACAGCCGAACCCCAGGCAAGAGGCTGATCGACCGGCTGATGGAAACCGTCTGCAACTGCTTCCAGGGCCCGCAGACCGATGAGGGAGTCCAGCTACAGATCATTAAGGTATACCCAGAGCTTCTCTGCACATCTGGCAGCCTTCAGATCCTCCAGCTGTCACTGTTGTTGTTTATTTGAGACCCAGTCAAAGCTGTCAGGACTGAGGCACTTAAGTCCTCCATTCTAAAGAGTTTAATCATTAATACTTGTTTCCTGTAATCACACAACAAATCCAATCAAAGAGTTTCATGTTGCAGTATTTTCCTTAGAATAGATTTGAAGGGTTTATAGACCGACAACCTTCATTTGTTATACCTTTAAATGAATCTGAAGAGCAGAACTGCTGCGTGTGTTTATTTAACTCTTCCTCGAAGTTTCTGAACAGGTTACTCTGTTTTTAAGTGTTCAACATCCACTGTTGTCATTTTTGGATTTGTGAGAAGGGACCAAAGTTTAGTTTGTAATGTTGTGTTGTGATACATCCTAATTAGTGCATACTTTGCCATCTTTGTCAGACTTTTTATCACATTTATTTTCATTTGCTTGTCCCTGCTTTGGCTTGGTAACCTGCCTTGTGTTTGTGCAGTAGGTATGATTCATAACTGCCACTGACTGAAGTTTCCTCCTAGTGAATGAAATACACATCCTGGTTGTTTGGAAAGGGCAAAGTCTCTCCTGTTGTAAGAAGCACACAGTTTAATCACTGTTGACAAAAGATTTACAGCAGATTATCCGTAACCGTTTGGCTTAAATTCACCACTGAATGAGACCTGAGTGTCAGTGCAGTCTATCTAGATGGACTAAAACAAGCTTGAATATGTTTTCTAGATTTTAAAAAAAGTATCTCTTGACAACTATGACAACTATGTGGTTTTAACATGCTACACAAGTAGGGAAGTCAAGTGGTGATTCAGCAGGTGTAACAGCAGCATCTTCTGAACAAGATATCCTGTCTGATAACTCTTCACTTCCTTTTTTCTGCGTCCAGGCCCTGCTGACGGCAGTGACCTCCCCGCACATAGAGATTCACGAGGGTACCGTGCTCCTTACCGTCAGAACCTGCTACAACATCTACCTGGCCAGCCGCAACCTCATCAACCAGACCACCGCTAAGGCCACACTCACACAGATGCTCAATGTTATCTTCACACGCATGGAAAACCAGGCTGTGAGTGCATTTAACACGTTTACTCAGTCCATACAACTGATGACACTTTTTGGCAACACATGGGAAAATTATTGTTTTCTCCTTTGCACTCTCTTTTTAAAATGACACTGTAAAAAGGGATTCAAGTGCATTAGAACTTTGTTTAAAGTGATTTAAAAAAACAGCATTTCTTGTAACCAAAACAAAGAGATATCTTAGTTGCATAGAAGCAGCAACAACATGAGGAGGAGGGCCAGGCATTGACTGTAGCTGTCGTTACTGCTGTGGATGTGACTGTAACTGGCTGGCTGCTCTTAACACCACCTAAGATAGTAACATTTACCAGGAAAGTGCCTTTGGGGCTGCTATCAGATATGACGGATGTGTTACAGTTTACACTACAGTTCTCCACAATGCTCAACTCAGCCTTTGCAAATCATCTTAAAGGGATAGTTCAGATTTTTTGAAGTGGAGTTGTATGGGTACATATCCACAGTCAATGGCAGTCGGCACACCCTCAGTTTGGAAAAGTGGCAGAAGTACCAACACGGAAGCTGAGCAATGTACTGCTGTGGACGGGGGCAGCAACAAAGTATATCGTAGCCACCTAAACAAAAGTCTCACGTAGAAAACAAAAAAACATTATCAGTTTATGTGTACTCTAAATTGAGGATATATTTATGGCTTTACCTTACCGTTAAACAGCCCGTTCCAACAGGGAAGCCATTAACGGCTTCAGTTCCCCATCTATGCTCTTGTCAAAGCCACCAGACTCAATTGACGAAAACAGTAATTTTACCTTGCTGAGCACGGGAGCTGCTGGTTTACTGCCACCTCAATCAGTTTGTTACTTTGTGTTGTTGTGTGACTTTGGTGAATCCGAACTAACCCTTTAAAGCATCAAAACCACAAAGTTACACATTCCAGCTAACTGATCAAGGCAGCGGTAGAGCAGCAGCTCCTGTGTTCAGCAATGTTAAGTCACTGTTTTTCTTAATGGAGTCTGGCTTTAAAGAGAACGATATAACGGCTTCAGTTTCCTATTGGAAATCACTGTCTGACAATAAGGTAAAGCAATGAGAATACTCTTAGTATAGCGTACACTTAAACTGAAATTCATTCTTTTTAGGTGGCTAAAATACATTTTGTTAATAACCCACCCACAACCATAAATGTTGGCTTTGCCGACTAACATTGACTGTATGTATTACACTGACTATAAGTACCTCATACAACCCCAGTTCAAAAAATTTGAACTGTCCTTTAAAAATAAGGTGCAAGGATTCAGACCTGTGGCGGAGAACCTTCCGTGACCATGATGTATTTTCAGCCATCACCTCAGCACAACATTATGACTCATGTAAATACCAACGCACGCAAGTTTTTAATTAAAATGTTGTGGAATCACAGGCTGGTTTTGATGTGAATCAGCTGGTCACACCTAAGCAATAATCTGTTCAATAATTTGCGTTTCTTATTTTTTTTTTAATCCAACAGTGATTTAAATCCTGCCTCATTTGTGTTAGTAATGGTCACATCCACATTCCCTTGTATTAAACAATTCCCTAACATGGCTCCTCTCCTCCTTCCACTGCCTCCACAGGCTCTGGAGGCTCAGGAGCAGGAGAAGGAACGGCTTCGTCTGCCTCAGCAGAACCCGTCCCCAGTCCCAGGTAATCGGAGGTCCGGCTCTCCCCGGTCTGACCGGACACCCACTCCGGAACCCCAGAACTCCCCGTCCCCAGCAGCCAGTTCTCCAGACCTCACTACCACCAACACCACCAGCTCCACGCCCCCACCTCCAGCCCCTGACGTGGACCAGGACCAAGCGCCAGACACACCATCAATCAATGGAGAACCTGAGGGCGGCAACGCTCCGATGAATGGAGGAGAGGAACAGATCACACCATCAAGAGGTGTGTTTCAGCTTTCAGTTTGAAGTTTCAATTCATTTGAAGTTTGAAAATATTTGTAGTTGTTTTTCCTTTACCTCTTTTAGGAAAATCTGCAGCTTTTCTATACTGTTTACCTTAATCCTCATGACTCTTCATACTCTTTGTTATTTGTTCACATCAGATTCTGTTTTTGAAGATGAAGGTGTAGAGACACCTCCTACAGCAGCTGAGCCAGCTGAGGAAGGGGACAAACCAGAGAGCAATCCAAATCTGGCAGCAACTGAAGGGGAGGAGGGAGAACAACAAGGAACAGGTCAGAACTTACTGTGCTATTTTTATTTTGGTTATCCCCTCTTTTATGTCTTATGTTTCCTTTGTTCTTGATAAATGTCGATACACTTGTCGGAGACAGTGTTTTTCCTTCCTGGTCATGACCTGAAAATGTCCATTTGGGCCTCTCTTCCAGGAGGTGAGCACCACCCTGTTGATGAGCAGACTGAAGTGGCTCCCCCCAGAGTCAGAACAGAAGGTCAGCAGATGAACGGCATCATTGAGGACCGCTCTTCTGTTTCCTCCACAGATATGCTGGTGAGCAGTGTTAATACACTTAGTTATTAATCAGTAGTGTGCTGAGAGGAAACACATTAAAAGTAACAACCTCTAAAAAGATTAAGTTCATCTTGAAGTGAGTGTGGATTATTTGTTCTGCTGTTGTAAATAAATTGTTTATTTGATGGTTAAACGTGTGTATGGCATTTCTACATTAGCGCCCTGATGTGACTGTGTCATGCCTTCACCTCAGCTAAAAGAGTGAGGAAAAATAAAAGTAGTTAGCCACAGCAAAGTGATGACGTAGGGGCCAAGTCTCAGAATCATACTGATCATATTGTTTATCCTAAACTGCTGCAATGATATCCACTTTCAGGGTAAAGTTGAGGAATATGACTCAGGATTGGGAGTGTTTTATGCTTGTATGTTGTATGCATGCAGACCCGCCTACAGAAAGTGTGTCTCGCACATGTGAGATATTGCCAGAAAATGTACTTCCTCTATTTAAAAATGTTTTACTCCTTTGATTTTTATCAAGCAAAATGGAGCAGCAGCAGCACTTTAGTTCCTCTCATCAGTCACACTTGTGCAAGATGAATATTTGTAATGGTTTGAGAGAATGCCAACTCCAGTTCTGTGAATATGATGAAAAGAACTAGTGGAATGTATCTCTGCCAGAACAGCTACCAGAATTTGATAAGTAAAAGTAAAATGAGAAATGTTTTAAGGCAGCATGTTTGCCCTGTTGGTAAGATTCTCGACTCCAACCTCAGGACACAGATCAGAGCTGTTGCTTTCCTTTGTTTTGATGTAGACGTGTTGTTTGCGTTAACAGATTTTCTTTATCTGTCTCAGGATGCTGAGGCTCTGCAGGGACCCCACAGTGCAGCCCGATTCTCTCACATCCTGCAGAAAGATGCCTTTCTGGTTTTCCGCTCTCTGTGCAAACTCTCCATGAAGCCTCTTGCTGATGGACCTCCAGACCCAAAGTCAGTGTTTTTTTTTTATATGATGATTCCTAACCTCTAAAAACATAAAACTGGTATAACCAGTCTCCTTAAAGGCCCAGACACACCAAACCGACCACAAAGAACTAGTGGTGACAAAAACCGACTGTTGCAACACCTGAAGTGGCCTTTGTCTTGGCCAAAAAGTTGCACTTGAACACACATCAAAGACTACAGCTACTGGCCAGCTAGCATATACATGCTGTGCTTTTGTGTGAGGAGACAGTCAGCTTGGTGTGTCAGCGTCCTAAGTCTTAACTTGTCTCAGTTGGCTACATTTCTATTTATGTCACAACATGAACATGTCTTTTATACATTTTAAGTAACATCCTGATTTAGAATAATTTCATATGACGACTACCTCTGTGGTAACACTGAACATGCATCTTAAAGATGCAATAATATTTCAACATTAAAATGTCTAAAATAACTAGACCTAGTTTGTCAAGTTGAGTTCTTAGTTTATCCTGAATGTTTCCAGTGATATTCACGTCAGATAGATTTCAGCAGTGGTGGTTATTTAACAATGAATAATCTCACCTTACAACGTCAAAGTCTGTCTTTTGTTATTGTTTTGATAGAGAAAGCCCTAGTGGCAGAAATTACATACAGTGTGTTTAAATCTTTTAAGTCTTTTATGTGGCAACTTTTTTTTGTCATGATACAGTTTGCCAAATGAATATTGATGCCTTCGGCTTCCACGCACCGCTTCATCTCAGTCTCCACAGGTTAACTTGCCCTTTTCCATCCTTGTGTGGCCCTGCCATCTCTAGTTACTGTAACATTAGACCCTGAGTCAGTCAGTGTGAATAGGCCTGAGTAAACTGAGCCTGGAAGGAACTCACAAAGAAGTCAGTCTGGCCTACATTTAATAAATACTGTGATGAAACACTATTATATCTCAGTATCTTGTGTTACCTTCAATTTGGAGTAAAATGGAACACCATTTATTGATGGGACATAAAAGCACATCTGTGTCTACTGAGCAGGTTGCTCTATGTGTCTTTTCAGTGTCTGTGTCTGTTTCCTTAATATGTAAACTTAAAGAATACAGTATAACACTCCCTCTCCGCTGCAGGTCCCATGAGTTGCGGTCCAAGATCGTCTCCCTGCAGCTGCTGCTCTCTGTGCTGCAGGGCGCCGGGCCCGTGTTCCGCACTCACGAGATGTTCGTCAACGCTATCAAACAGTATCTGTGTGTGGCACTGTCCAAAAATGGCGTCTCCTCTGTGCCTGAGGTCTTTGAGCTTTCACTGGCAATCTTCCTCACCTTGCTCTCCCACTTCAAGGTCCACCTGAAGATGCAGATTGAGGTACCGTTGCAGCGTGACAGTAATAGACATCTGTGCCGCGTTAGCTTGTCTGGCATGCCTTAGATTGAGGAGTGAAATGTACCTGTTGTTATATTAAACTTTTTAACTTTCATGTTGGTGCAGCTTGTTTGATCACAGAGTCACACTGACGCTTACTCTCCTGACTTCTGTCTTCTCTTGTCCACGTTGCCTCAGGTGTTTTTCCGGGAGATTTTCCTGACCATCCTGGAGACATCGACCAGCTCCTTCGAGCACAAGTGGATGGTTATCCAGACACTAACACGCATCTGTGCAGGTGCAAATCCACTGACACAAGCTTTTCTCATCCTGTAACCAAAAAATAGACACACACAGTTAATCTAAACCCCCCTCAGACATGTCAGACATCAAGCTGTTAAAGTGATGAGTTTGTGCCATTCACACATAGGTGACTTAATGTTACTTATGGCCTTATTTAGACATGACATTTATGGAAAAAGCCAAATGCTTGTGTGATATTTGGCATCAGGGGCCTCATTACAGAAAAATATCCTCACTGCTTGTCCTATTTTAACTTAAATTTCAAAGATAGAAAGAAATCCTATCTTCCCATAATAGAAGCAATTCCTTAACTTATGGCTAAGTCCTGTCCCATCTCAGATCTCCTATCTTATTTGAACTTAAGAAATCCTCACTATAACTGTAAATTCTTCAATTGGCACTCATCCTGTCATGCCTGTATCTATGTTTAGAACGTACACAGACCGCCTGTACATCTCGTACTCGTACTCGTCGTCCTCCGTTTATCCGGGTACGGGTCGCGGGGGCAGCAGCCTCAGCAAAGAAGCCCAGACAGTCCTCTCCCCTGCCACTTCTTTCAGCTCTTCTGTGGGAACCCTTAGGTGTTCCCAGGCCAGCCGGGTGATGTATTCCCTCCAGCGTGTCCTGGGGCGGCCCCGAGGTCTCCTCCCGGTTGGACATGCCCGAAACACCTCCCAAGGTAGGCGTCCGGAAGGCATCCTTACCAGATGCCCGAACCACCTCAACTGGCTCCTCTCGATGTGGAGGAGCAGCGGCTCTACTCCCTCCCGGATGTCTGAGCTCCTCACCCTATCCCTAAGGCTGAGCCCAGCCACCCTGCAGAGGAAACTCATTTCGGCCGCTTGTACTCGCGATCTCATTCTTTCGGTCACTACCCAGAGCTCGTGACCATAAGTGAGGGTTGGAACGTAGATCGACTGGTAAATCGAGAGCTTAGCTTTTTGGCTAAGCTCCCTCTTCACCACAACGGACCGGTTAAGCGCCTGCATCACTGCTGACGCCGCCCCACTCCGCCTGTCAATATCCCGCTCCATCTTACTCTCACTCGTGAACAAGATCCCGAGATACTTAAACTCCTCCACCTGAGGAACGACCTCCCCCCCGACCTGGAGAGGGCAGTCCACCCTTTTCCGGCTGAGGACCATGGCCTCAGACTTGGAGGTGCTGATTCTCATCCCAGCCGCTTCACACTCGGCTGCGAACCGTCCCAGCAAGAGCTGGAGGTCACTGTTCGATGGAGCTAGGAGGACCACGTCATCCGCAGAAAGCAGGGACGAGATCCTCCCGTCACCGAACCTGACACCCTCCACCACTCGGCTGCGCCTAGAAATTCTGTCCATAAAAGTTATGAACAGAACCGGTGACAAAGGGCAGCCCTGGCGGAGTCCAGCCCTCACCGGAAATAGGTCCGACTTACTGCCAGCCACGTGAACCAGACTCATGCTCCTTCGGTACAGGAACTGGATGGCCCTTAGCAAGGGGCCACCAACCCCATACTCCCGGAGCACCCCCCACAGGATGCCCCTGGGGACACGGTCGTAAGCCTTCTCCAAATCCACAAAACACATGTGGACTGGTTGGGCAAACTCCCATGCCCCCTCCAGCACCCTGGCGAGGGTAAAGAGCTGGTCCACGGTTCTGCATCTGGGACGAAAACCACATTGCTCCTCCTCAATCTGAGGTTCAGCTATCGACCGGACCCTCTTCTCCAGCACCCTGGAGTAGACCTTACCGGGTAGGCTGAGGAGTGTGATCCCCCTGTAGTTGGAACACACCCTCTGATCCCCTTTCTTGAAAATGGGGACCACCACCCCGGTCTGCCACTCCAGAGGCACTGCCCCTGATGTCCACGCAATGTTGCAGAGGCGTGTCAGCCAGGACGGCCCTACAACATCCAGAGCCTTGAGATATCCAGGATGAATCTCATCCACCCCCGGGGTGGACGACTCGCCCCCGAGACCCCCATCTCTGTTTTCTCACTGGAATACGTGTTGGTGGGATTGAGGAGCTCCTCAAAGTATTCCTTCCACGGCCCGACAATGTCCCCAGTTGACGTCAGCAGCTCCCCGCTCCCACTGTAAAGAGTGTGAGCAAGTTGCCGCCTTCCCCCCCTGAGGCACCGGACGGTTTGCCAGAACCTCTTTGGAGCCGATCGATAGTCTTCCTCCGTGGCCTCACCGAACTCCTCCCACGCCCGAGTTTTTGCCTCCACGACTACCGCCACTGCGCTCCGCTTGGCCCGCCGGTACCCATCAGCTGCTTCCGGAGACCCACAGGCCAACCATGCCCTGTAGGCCTCCTTCTTCAGCCTGATGGCTCCCCTCACCTCTGGTGTCCACCAGCGGGTTCAGGGATTACCGCCACGACTGGCCCCAGCGGCCTTGCGACCACAGCTCGCAACCACCGCCTCGACAATGGCAGAGAGGAACAAGGCCCATTCGGACTCAATGTCTCCCTCTGCCCTCGGGACGCGGTCGACGCTCTCCCAGAGGTGGGAGTTGAAGATCATCTGGACAGGTTCTTCCGCCAGGCGTTCCCAGCAGACCCTCACTGTTTGTTTGGGCCTGCCAGGTCTGCGCGGTGTCTTCCCCCGTCATCTGATCCAACTCAGTTGACAGCTCTGCTCCTCTCTTCACCCGAGTGTCCAGAACATATGGCCGCAGGTCAAATGATACGACTACAAAGTCAATCATTGACCTGCGACCTAGGCTGTCCTGGTGCCACGTGCACTGATGGACATCCTTATGTTTGAACATGGTGTTAGTTATGGCCAAACTGCGACCCGCACAGAAGTCCAGTAACTGAACACCACTCGGGTTCAGATCGGGCAGGCCGTTCCTCCCAATCACGCCCCTCCAGGTCCCGCTGTCATTGCCCACGTGAGCGTTGAAGTCCCCCAGCAGAACAATGGAGTCCCCGGTCGGGGCACTGTCCAGCACCCGTCCCAGGGACTCCAAAAAGGGCGGGTACTCTGAACTGTTGTTGGGTGCATAAGCGCAGACAACAGTCAGGACCCGTTCCCCGACCCGAAGGCGCAGGGAAGCAACCCTTTCGTCCACCGGGGTAAACCCCAACATACAGACAGAGAGTCTGGGGGCTATCAGAAAGCCCACCCCGGCCCTCTGCCTCTCACCCGGAGCAACTCCAGCGAAGGAGAGAGTCCAACCCCTCTCAAGGACTTGGGTTCCAGAGCCGGAACTATGTGTCGAGGTGAGGCCAACTATATCTAGCCGGTAGCGCTCAACCTTTTTCACAAGCTCCGGCTCCTTCCCCGCCAGAGAGGTGACATGTCCCAAGAGCCAACTTCTGTAGCCGAGGATCGGACCGCCAAGGCCCCCGCCTTGGTCTGCTGCCTAATCCACATAGCACCGAACCCTTCTGCATCCCTCTGTTGGTGGTGGGCCTGCAGGGGGATGAGCCCATGTAGCCTGTTCGGGCTGGGCCCGGCCGGACCCCATGGGTGAAGGCCTGGCCACCAGGCGCTCGCCCACTGGCCCCAACCCCAGGCCTGGCTCCAGGGCGGGGTCCCGGTAACCCTCCGGGCTGGGTACACGAATCCTTGTTTTTATCCATCATGAAGGGTCTTTTGAACCGTTCTTCGTCTGACCCTTCACCCAGAACCAATCTGCCATGGGAAACCCTACCAGGGGCAAAATGCCCCCGACAGCATAGCTCCTAGGGTCATTAGGGCACTCAAACTCCTCCACCACGATAAGGTGACAGTTCTCTGAGGAGTGCCTGTACATTTGATTATAATATACTGGTCAGCTATTAGAGGTCAACATGGCTCTCACTTATCACTGGCAAGCTAGCTTGCGTCGTGGTACACAAGAGACAGGCATTCAGTTTTAGCTTTGAGTTGGAGGCACTAATTGTGCCAGTGAAGTAGCAGAAACCTCACCTTTTTAGGGAGGTTTTCTTCAAAATTATTTGAATTACGTATTAATTCAAATTAATTAATTAGTCAATTAATTTGAAATTTTTATTGAAATTTAAAGGTAAAATGGGTTGAAAACCGTTGTAAACAGTGACATCAGTGGTCAAATTCTAGATTGCAGGGCTCACTCGCTCACCCCTCCCGTTGGGTAAATGACGGTGGCCTCGTAGGGACAAAAAGCCTTGCGCACGAGTTTTTCAGGAGTAGGTCTATCTAGCGACGAGGTGAATGTTTATTTAGAAATCTAAACCATGTTACGATATTGTAATGAATCCCTCACGAGCAGGAGACCAGAGGAGCGTTCGGGAAAAAGGCCCGTTTATTTGAGCACTTCAGAAACTCCGGTAACACTCCACTCCGTCCCAAACTCTGACTCTTCTGGCATAACAGACACACTTCATAACTTTACACACATACTCGTTTACCATACTAAGTGGGGACCCCCCTCCCCTCTCTGCTCCGCCAATTTCCAGCCCGCACACTGACTGACAGCGTAGCCGGTAAACAGTGCTCAGCTGTTTATTTAGCCTAGCAATATCTCCGGACTGTAGTAGCTATGGAGCTATGGACGACTTTGAACGCGATTTTGAAGAGTTTCTTGTAGCGGACACAGACCCAGAGCCATACCTGTTTGAGCCGGAGCACACAGATGAGGAACTCCACGTGTTTGATGCTGAGTGGGTGAAAAGAGAGGCTGAATGCACAGAATGGGATTCGGTGCTACTGCTGCCATTGTTGGGGAGATATATCACCAGGAGGAAAAGCGCCAGAGAGTGCATCACAAGGAGTGAAGTTGCGTCTTCTTTTCCTCACAGATGACGGTTCGGGTTCATTCTCTCCTGTTGCGTGGTAAGTGTGGTCCATTCGCAAACTTTATAACTAAAAAAACTTGTCACTACTCTCTATCGACGAACTACTAACACTCTGCTGTTTCCTCCTCCTTCTTCCTTCCTTCCGCTGTCTTCGTTGGTTCATTTATACACGCGAAACGCGTTCTCTGGCTGGCTGGATTGTCCACTCGGTCTGCCGTACATACATGGCGGCGCAAGATGGCGACCTCTCTAAAGCAAGGCCCTTGCTATATATATATATAAAAGCATAATTATAAGGCTACGAAAACCAAACAAATTTTATTTTATAGCGATCATACACTTGTATAAACATATTAATGGGTAGAATATTCAGATTCAGATTCAGATTGACAATAAACCATGCCAAATATTACACACTGGCCCTTTAAAGCATCATCACACGATTTCAGCAGCCTTTCAGTCATTAAATTTTGATGTTCATGTTGTTCCCCGTAGTCATTGTCATTGCTGTAGATACACATTTTTGTCAGTTATTTTGAATTATTGACGGGGTCCATACCCTATATCCTAACTGAGGATTCCTACCTTGGTAAATAACTAAGTTAGAATGGTTCTGTAATAGCTAAATCCTTATGCTAAGGTAGGATTTCTTTTTCTAAATACAGTTCGGATACATGTTTCCGTAATACCAAAAATCCTCAATGTCATTCTAAACTAAGATGAAATAGGATTTCTGACTTAAGAAGTTTCTCTAAGGAGGCCCCTGGTGTGCGAGAGGAGTCGAAATTTTGTGATGTGATGCAAGAAAGCTGATTTTGTTTTTAAGCTTGCCTCTTCTGTGAATCAAAAAATGTTTCATGTCAGTTTAATCATTACGTACTGTAGATAGAGAAATCTGCTGCCTGTGTTATAATGTCCGACAGCGCACACATTTAGAATACTGTGACGCTGGGACTCATTTATTCATCCATGCAATTTGCATGAGTCCAAGTTGTAAACATGAGGGGGGAGACATCTGGTCTGATGATTACTGTGGTTGTACACAAGTGCTATTTTTAACATTCCCCCCCTTACATGGCAGGAGTTAATGACTCTTTTTATACACTGATCTGACATGAACATAATCTCAACAGCTTAAAATTTGCTCGTTTGGTTGTTTTTAATACTTAATTAAACAGATTTTGTTTTCTTTCAGCAAAGGAGATGATAGTTATGTAAGAATTTTATTCCAGTTTCTTATGGTAGAACAAGGTATGCATTTAATCTAATTCTATAAACTTGTTCTACTTCAGCTTTTATGTGAATCAGACAGCATTAGATTCAGACTTAATGGTAGTTGAAGTCTTAGCGGAATTACAGGACAGACATACTTCAAGTGCTGTTGGATCTTTAACATTGAAGTGACTTGGGCACTTATGCAGACATGTAACATGTTAAATTGCCATTCCATTTACATAACAAGGTGCATGACTGACAGGGTCTTGACCCTCCTGGTTGTGACTGCTTCTCATATCATCCCATGACTTTGTCGATTTGTCGTCATTGCTAGAATTGATTAAAAATTCTTGTGCTTGGGTAGCATGAGCCATATTCACACCACCAGCACAGCAGTGTTGGTAGTTGTTTGTGAGCATCATCCAATGTTGTCATCTTTTCTTCTCATGCAGCTCTAGAGTGATTCTGCTGTTACCTCATTTGGCAAAGATGCACTTAACACAAAGACCTTGAAATAAAATTTATTGTCAGGTTTTGGTTAAAGGGGCCCAGCATTCCAGTCATTACAGTTTTCACTGATCACTTCAGCCAACAGTGCAGTATCTCCATGTTGTCTCTTAAGAAAGGTATTTAATTGATATAAATTAAAAGTTTTTGTAAAACATTTCTTTCCCCTGCAGATGCCCAGTGCGTGGTTGACATTTACGTGAACTATGACTGTGACTTGAATGCAGCCAACATCTTTGAGCGCCTTGTCAATGACCTGTCTAAGATCGCTCAGGGCAGAAGTGGTCAGGAGCTCGGGATGACTCCACTGCAGGTACACTATTATCTATTATCTATTATCTATTAATGCATTAAAAGCAGGCACACAAACAAACACCCCAAACTGATCAACCATGCCCACCAGTTAAACATCCATCATTGTATTGAGTTCACATCAAAAATGGAGAAAGATTGTCCAGCAGGGTCTATCATCTTGAGGTGGTTCGGTTTAGGAGGTCAGATGTAAAACTCAAACCAGCCTCGACCTTGTTTTGTGGTACGTTAATATACAAGGCATTACAGTGAGAGAGTTTAAGAACAGACTTCAAAATAAAAGCCACTTTCTGGTGAACATGTTAGGTAATTTCACATTCAGTCAATAAGTCAGTCAGTCTATCTATCAATAATAAAAAGAAATAAAAAAATACTAATGCATACATGTATACATAATAAATAAACACAATTAATAAACATAAATTAATTGAATGATCATTTAAAAGGACAATTACTGCCTGCAAACTATATTTTAGAAAAAAAATAGAATTTTAATTGTGTGAATAATTGGTAAAACTTAACAATAAACAATAGATTTCCAAAGACCTAGACTTCAGAATGATAGACCACCTCTGTGTGTCACTCAGACAATAACTGGACATTCTGTTGTGGAATTTCAAAATTAAAGCCCTTTGTGTTTCCTCAAAATTCAGATTAGTTTACTTGAATGTTCACAGTGGTATGATCATATAAATCAAAGGTTTAAATCAAACTGATACGTAAATGTAGAGAAAATATGAAAAACAAACAAGAAATAAATTGCATTATGCAACATACCCTAAAAATATCAAGATATTATTTTTTAGCATGTGTGAGTGTGTAAATGACCTTTGGTGGCTCTATGATATCCACAGGAGCTGAGCCTACGAAAGAAGGGTTTGGAGTGTCTGGTGTCCATCCTTAAATGTATGGTGGAGTGGAGCAAAGACATGTATGTCAACCCAAACCTTCAAGCTAACCTGGGTAAGTTTGTAGTCTACAGTGAATATCTAAACACTGCACAGAGGGAGAGTGGGACCAAAACATATAATTGTTGTGTGTGCGCGTGTGCAGGCCAGGAGCATCCATCTGACAGTGAGGGAGGAGAGCTGAAGCTCCCAGAGCAGCTGGTGGGACGTCGAGACAGTATCAGCTCTCTAGACTCCACTGTCTCCTCCAGCGTCACGGTTTCCCAGGCGGACCATCCGGAGCAGTATGAGGTCATCAAACAGCAGAAGGACATTATTGAGCACGGCATCGAACTGTGAGTCCTTGTTTCTCAACCTGTTTGGGATTTACATTAAGATTACAGTGTGTGGAATATTTTAACCTTTATACTTTTTGTTCTTGTTTAGAGAAGATGAGTGATGATGTTTTCCTCCGTTCTCTTCCCAGTTTCAACAAGAAGCCAAAGCGAGGCATCCAGTACCTGCAGGACCAGGGCATGCTGGGTTCCACAGCTGAGGACATCGCCCAGTTCCTACACCAGGAGGATAGACTGGACACTGTGAGACATTACACACTTGTTGTATTCTCAAACAACAAAGCTGTTTATTCAAGTTAGTAATTGCCCCCCAACTGCTATATTTCTGTATCCACAGACCCAGGTGGGAGAATTCCTGGGCGAGAACATCAAGTTCAACAAAGAGGTGATGTACTGCTACGTGGACCAGCTGGACTTTTGTGGGCGGGACTTTGTCTCAGCACTAAGAGCATTCCTGGAAGGCTTCAGGCTGCCTGGTGAGGCCCAGAAGATTGACAGGCTGATGGAAAAGTTTGCTGCTCGATACTTAGAGTGCAACCAGGGGTAAGGCCCACCTTAGATTTCCCATTAAAATGTAAAGACTAAAATATTTGTGCGCGTCACATTGCACCAAAGTGAATTTTTTGAATATATATTTTTAGTCACAAGAGTTCATATTTGAATAAAACAAATACAAAGTACTAACTGTTGCGCTGATATGTGTCCTCTTTTGCAGACAGACTCTGTTTGCCAGTGCAGACACTGCCTACGTGCTGGCATACTCAATCATTATGCTCACCACTGACCTGCACAGTCCTCAGGTGAGAACTGTAGATTGTTTTATGTCTTGTCACTATCATCACCATGATCTCCGTATGTAGGCCTTTTATTCACCCTGGACGCAACTGTGTCGCCACTCTCTATGGAATATTTATTAAGGATTGGTGGCTTTTCTTCAGGCTCACAATGCGTTTGTTGTTATTTACTGAAAAATTACACCAAGGTGCAATTTGTATTTGCAAGCATTCAGCCTTTATTGGACAGAACAGCTTTTGCGTGAAAGGGGAAGAAAGAGAAGGGATCACAGGAAGGTTGGAATGGAACCTGCAGCCGCTGCGGCAAGAACATAGCCTTTGTATGTGAGACGCCCTGTGTTTAAAAAAACTAAAAGGGAGTGCTTTGGTAGGGCTGTGTTGTTTTGGTGACTCAAAGGAAATGAAGTCCAGTTTAAGTAACAGGTCCATGAGCCTGAAGGCTTATCAGACACCAAAATTCATTGCATTAGTTCACAACACTCAGGATGATTATCACAGTGGCAATTGTTTCATTTTTTGGCACTCCAACTGCAAGATAAACAAGGCACAAAGTAATCTAGCTCGCATGTATTAGATTGGACAAAGCGGCGCCTTGCTGCCTGACTTTGTGTTCAATTCTGGCAAAAGCCCAAAAAGGCTCAACGTTTTTGCTGGACGACCCTGCGTTTATTCACCAGAGTCCAGGGCCCATATATCTGTGGCAGCGCGGCCTTCTACAAATAGCTGCTGCACCTGATTTATTGCTGCAGACACACCACCGTGACAGAGGAAATTTCATCTGAAATTTAAAGTCTGAGAAAAGCAGGTGTGAATTATGGCACACTGTGACAAACACACCCAAACACAGAAAGACTATAGCCAGGGGGGAAAAGAGAGAGACGATGAGACAATGTCAGACAATGAAATCACTTTATTGAACACAGTTAAGACCGCTGCAGTAAATTAAAAGTTCAAGTATTCTCTATATAGCACATCACAAACCAGCAGCAACAACACTGTTTTTATCTCCTGCAATTTTACCTTACTGTTTGTCTCAGTGTCTTTCTGCTTGAATATGTTTTTAAGCCATGGTGCCACGTGTCGGTGACAACCAAGGGTGGGAGGCATTATGTTTTGGGGTTGTCGGTCCCGTTCTCATGATTCTGTTACCTCAGGAACGACTTGAGGGAGTCTGTTCAAAATTGGCACAAACGGTACCTTGGACTCCAGAATAAACTTAATAGAATTTGGTGGTCAAAGGTCATCTTCACAATGACATCATAATGCTCTGCATAAACACATCTCTGGCCATAACTAAATGTCATATCTTAGGAACAGAAAGGAAGACATTTGGTCAGATACTGAACTGACGACACTAATCTCTGGTGTCCATCTTGAAACTGTGCTGATTGTATAGATCTTCTGAGATGCTGGGTTGAAGATGTTTGTGAGGCATCCACCTTTTAGAATTTGTAGCTTGCTTTGTTGCGGCAACATTTGAAGCATTGTCAGCTGTGATGGCTACACATGAGTCTGGGCAGACATTCATGTGAACTGTAACTGCAACTTCACTGGTTCGCAGAGACATACAACTTGACCTAATAACTGATCCAGACCAGTGTTGGCCTCATATATTTTAATGTTGATGTCCACAGAAATAATCAAGTCAAAGGAGTTACAAACCACAGTCCACCACATTACACTTTGTTTTAGCTCCCTAACTTTGCAGATGTGCAGTGCACATCAAAACAGCAAAGCAGAAGAACTGTGGATTTCCTCCATTTTAATCACTCCAGCTGCCTCTCTTGATCTTTTTCGTTGATGTAGGTGAAAAACAAGATGACAAAGGAGCAGTACATCAAGATGAATCGTGGTATTAATGACAGTAAGGACCTGCCTGAAGAGTATTTATCCTCCATATACGATGAGATTGCAGGCAAGAAGATCGCCATGAAGGAGAGCAAAGAGTTCTCAATCACTCCAAAGTCCACCAAGCAGAGTGAGTCTGAAAGTTTTTTTACCAGCCAGCATGTGACAAAAAGACAACAGACTAGTGATGTATCAATATAGTGTCATCTACGTTCAGGATCTCCCTGATACTATTTACTGTTTGCTAAAAAACAAGAGAAAGATTTCTGTCCTCCTCCGTTCAGGTGTAGCCAGTGAAAAGCAGCGGCGTCTGCTGTACAACATGGAGATGGAGCAGATGGCGAAGACTGCCAAAGCTCTGATGGAGGCTGTGAGCCACGCTCAGGCCCCTTTCTTCAGCGCTACACACCTGGAGCATGTGAGACCCATGTTCAAGGTATTACCTCTCTTTTTTAATTTAACATTCCAGATTAGATTGAACCACATCTTTAAACAGTGGGATGTTACACCAATACAACAGTTTGTGAACACAGTAGAAATGTACGCTGTATGTTGCAGCTGGCTTGGACGCCCTTGCTGGCAGCGTTCAGTGTGGGCCTGCAGGACTGTGACGACCCAGAGGTGGCGTCACTGTGTCTGGAGGGCATTCGATGCGCCATCAGGATCGCCTGCATCTTCAACATGCAGGTCTGCTGATCTTTGACACACACATTGAGCCAAATATTTATGGGGGATTTTTTTCAGCTGGTCACATTACCTGTCAGTAATGTTTTATTTTAAAAGTGGCTCTGTCTTCTTCAACTGTAACTGTGTAGTAACTGGCCTTCCTGTCCGTAGTTGGAGCGAGACGCTTATGTCCAAGCCTTGGCCAGATTCACCCTGCTGACAGCCAGTTCCAGTATCACAGAGATGAAGCAGAAGAACATTGACACCATCAAGACCCTGATCACAGTGGCACACACTGACGGAAACTACCTGGGAAACTCTTGGCACGAGGTGACTCCCTACCAACAGGATTTATTAAGAATAGTTGCAAAGAGATAAACTGTTACTGATTCTCAGAAATTACTTCTGTAAAGACTGATAGAATACAGATAAATTGCAAATACACACAGTTGCCAGTTTATTAGGTACACCTAGATACTACATGCAGTGCAGTCTAATACAACAGCACTACAATAAAACCTGCAGCCTTCATGGATGTTCCCTTTTTAATTGAAACAGTTTTCAAGATGTGTTGGTTTAAATGTAAGGCCATTTTGAAGGCTGTAGTTAGTAGTTTAGTTGAATTGTACTGTACAGACAAGGTATGAGAAACACACTCAATATAATCTCAGTGTCATGTAATACAATTCAACAGCACCACGGACTACAGCTTTGTAACAGTGACAATTTGGGTTCGTTTGTCAGAACCAATAGCTTCTTCTCACGTTTTAGTCAGGAACACTCGTCATACAGAGGCATATTTAACCACTTTCTGCAACAAATGGAAATACAGTTATGCTTGGTACTGATGGCTCCACTCTTAAGATGCTCCCTGGAGTAGCGTAGCAGCAGGTTAGCCAAACAAGGAGCACAATGGAGAAAATTCCCCATTGCTATACAAGAGTGGGTACGGACATCAAGACGTTGAATGTAATTTTAACCTTTAAACTATATTAATACTATGAACTAGAAAGAATGGTGGAGGCTGTGGCGGAACAAAGCTTTGCCAGCAGCAGCAGCGGTGAGAGCGGCAGCATGCATGTAGCAGGGATCAGTGAGGAGGGAGTCATTTAAATGGACTGCCTTGTTTCGATAGTGGGCTTTGATTGGTGTGTGACTGACAAGAAACCATGATTCAGTCAGCAGCTGTCAGCTGATTGCAGCTGGGGCGTATGACTTCGGTGTCCTGCATAAACTAACGCAATGCTTCAAATATATATTTTTTGTTGAAGCGTTAACTTAGAGCCAGTATTGTAATCAGGACCACCTCAATGGAGACTTAGATTAGAGACAAGATTTAGAAGGGTCAAGACCAAGTCAAGACAAAGACCAAGGCAAGACGAGATTGAGTCACGACCAGACCAGTGCGACTCCCACACTGTATGACACACTTAATCTAAAATGTGAAACATGCAAACCACCGGCACTCCTCAAATTGATCTGAAAGATCCACATTCTCATAAAAACAACCTCTGAAAACAAATGAAGATTCCTCTTCATTACTGTTACACTGTCTATATGTGTGAATTCATAAGTGTGCCATGAGAAATGTCTGGATAAAAAAATCTAAAGGCATTGCAGAGGTGAATTTTGTAATTTTCCTCTGATTTTTGTGAGCAAACAAACACCAAGGAGCTGACAACAATTTAACCATGTCTTTTCAACACTTCTTTTTTTCACAGCAATTTAGTGATATCCCTGCAGTTGTAGTCTTGTATGGTCTCAATAAATCCTGAGGCCTCTTTTTCCGCAACAAGACAAGAATTGGTGTCGAGACCAAGATCGATTAGAGTACTACAACATTGCTTACAGCCTACTGCAAATGGATTATTGGCAAATATGATAATGACCTGAAAATACTGATTTATTTTGTCTTATTTTATCATATACATAACCTAGAGAGCATAGTTGTTTTTTTTACCACTAAATATTTCAAAATGCCAAGGACAGAGAACTACAGAACATGACCGGGATTTCTACTTTGCTGCTGAGTGTCTGAAAATAATGATGTCACACTCTCTCCTAGGAGTAGTCGGGAATGTATGAAGCATTGTAAGTTACTTTGAATACCTATCCTGAAGTTGGAGAACTTTTAATCTTTGGTGAACTTTTAGTGCAATTTCTAGGACAGATCCTGAAATGACTCATTCATAGGATCCCTGGTAAATTATGTTCTTGCCACCCAAGGAATATTCCCTCAACTGTTTTAAAATTATTTGTTATGATTACCAAGGATATATTTTTCATTTATATACTGGATCCAAACTGTCCCCAGCTCATCATAGCTATTCTAAAATGAATAAAACAAACAACAGTTACAAGTTACTTGTTGTGTATGTGTGTTATAGATCCTGAGGTGTATCAGTCAGCTGGAGCTTGCTCAGTTGATCGGCACAGGGGTAAAGACACGCTACATCTCGGGGGTGGTCCGGGACAGGGACGTCAGCATCAAGGGCTTACCCTCCGGAACAGAGGAGTTCATGCCCCTGGGGCTGGGTATGACACACACAATAAGGCGTCTTAATTACATATAATAGCACACATAAATCGTGCATTTTTTCCTCTTTGCTTTGAAAAGTCACATACATTTGCTGTCTGTGTCTGATGCCCGACTGTATACTTTAGCTTGTGTATAATGTGTTTGCTGTTGCAGGTAACTTGGTGGGAAGTCAGGACAAGAGACAGATGGCTCACATCCAGGAGTCAGTAGGAGAGACCAGCTCTCAGAGTGTTGTGGTAGCTGTGGACAGGTAAGACAAAATACCCATAAAAGTACTCAGATACAGGATATTAATGACGTAATAATCTATATCAGTCCTTTATGATGATTTAGTTTCCCCACAAATATGAATGCTGCTTATATTTTTGCAGGATCTTCACTGGTTCCACCAGACTAGATGGAAATGCCATTGGTGAGTGTTCTGTACAGTATCTCTGTTTGTGGTCGTTACAAAGAAAGAGAAGGTATTCATTCATCGTGTGATGCTGTTTTAATCATTTCCAGTGGACTTTGTGCGGTGGCTGTGCGCGGTGTCCATGGACGAGCTGGCCTCAGCACACCAGCCGAGGATGTTCAGCTTGCAAAAGATTGTGGAAATCTCATACTATAACATGAACCGCATCAGGCTTCAGTGGTCTCGCATTTGGCAGGTCATAGGAGACCACTTCAACAAGGTCAGTGGATTAAAGGTTTTGCAAAGTTCTAAAAATGTGTCACCTAAAGAATATAAGCTCCTGTTAATAAGAGGTATGAGCTCCTGTGTGTGGCACATGTGTGGCAGGCAGCAGTGAGATGACACAGTGTTCCTTTGGTTATAATGGGTGCAACAGTGGATCAGTAAAGCCATTTTAGAGCTGTCACTATATGATTATTTTATCAAATCAGAGTGAATATTGGACTTGAATTTGCCAAGTTGCCAGAAACACAACTCTAAATGAAATGTTTATGTTCTGCTGGTTAAGTAAATAAGCAACTGTTTGCCATATCAACTAAACAGTTTAAAATGCACCGTTTTTTAACATGTACGCATCAACGTGTACTGTCAAGATAAATCCTTCATGCTCTCGGATATATGTATGCACATACAGTGCACAATCATCCAGTCCATGTATATTCATTCATTATTTATTTCTTTGCACTATTTGTATAGTTTGCAACTTAAAATATGACTCCTTTTTTTTTTTTTAATTTTTGTTGTTGGTCATTGGTGCCTATATATATACACATATTCATTCACGTACTTGAGTTAATAATAGTCTTGTCTATTTCTTACCTTGTCCAGCTTTGTTGTCCTAGTTCTTAGCTGTTATGCATATGTCTGTGTATTTTGAGTACATTGAGTACGAAACCATCCAATTCCTTTTACTTGTTTGCATACTTGACTATGACAGCTGATTCTGAGAAAGTGATAATATGTCATCGTCATGTTTAAAGCTGGCTGCATTGCCCGCAAGTGGATAAAAAATAAATCAATAAATGTTAATTAATTAAATTAAGTTTGAGTATACAATACACATTTCAGACTAAAGAAACAATTCATCATGATTTTTTTTTAATAAACCAGAGGAAACTAGATTCACTTCTGAGCTCCACTGATGACTGTTGTGTCTTCCTCTAGGTGGGCTGTAACCCCAATGAGGATGTAGCCATCTTTGCTGTGGACTCACTGAGGCAGCTCTCCATGAAGTTCTTGGAGAAAGGAGAGCTGGCCAACTTCCGCTTCCAGAAAGACTTCCTCAGGCCTTTTGAGCACATCATGAAGAAGAACAGGTAGAGGATATTGTTATACTAGGTTTCCATGGTTATGAAATTCCTGTAAGAGTATTGAAATTAGAAAAACTGCTTTACAGGCCTAGAAATGGTTTGGAATTAACAGTGTTTTGGAAAGGTTTTGAATATACTGTATATATAATGTTTTGGCTGTTGGTAAAAATATGTTCATAAAAATCCCAAAACATATCTAACGTTACACAGATTCTGTTCCTCTTAATACTATCTTAAAATCTAGTGCTGCATTGCATAACCGTCGAAATGTCACCAGTATCACATGACACAGACCGACATTTTGTCATTTCCAAGGCTGTAGCCTTGGAAATGACAATGACAATGACAATGACACTTGGCAAAAGGGTGTGTACACCCTTTTGGGGAAAGAAATGCGCTGTCACATTAAGAGAGGAACAGGAAAATACTGAAAAGCTTCTGTGTAGCGTATTAGCCAAACGCTTAGGCTTTCACACTGAGATTTGAGGCACATAAGATGCAGAATATTCACAGACAGTGTGATAAATATTTAAATGCTCCTGGTTACAATTATTACTGATGGACAGGTTAAGGTTAGCTTAAGTGGGAATCTGTTGGAGTGCAGTCAGACAGCATAGCAGCATCAGACCATCATCTCCAACTAAACCTCAGCCTCGATCAAACAGCTGGCATGATCCAGGCATCTATACATGTATAGATAAATATATACAGATCAGAGAAAAGTAATATTACATCGTGTGTTCTGAAGACAGAAAAGTAAACAGCGTTTTGGTTTTTTTTCCTCGACTTCTCATACACTCCATTTACAAACACACACACATGCACACAAACATACATATAGTCATTAACACATCCACCGAATTTTCATCCCAGCTATCATTACTTGTTAATTGCTGTTAATTTTTTTTTTCTTACGGAACATTCACAAACACATGCACATAAACACAGACATACATATATTTACTAACACATTGACATCACTGATTCACTACTGTGGCACAGATAGGTTATGTAGAGTTGATAGATACTTTTTCACAGTAAAATATCAGATGCAGTGTATATATAGGGTGTTTTATGTGTTTGATGATATTTTAAGTCTTAAAGCAACCCAGTATTGCCCCATAGTAACCCCCTCCCCTCCCCCCAGGTCCCCAACTATCAGAGACATGGTGATCAGGTGTGTGGCTCAGATGGTGAACTCTCAGGCGGCCAACATTCGTTCAGGTTGGAAGAACATCTTCTCAGTGTTTCATCAGGCAGCCTCCGACCACGATGAGACCATAGTGGAGCTTGCCTTCCAGACCACTGGGCACATTGTCAGTAAGTATGACTGCAGCTCTTTGCTCAGGGCGGCCATTTTGGCTCAGGTGATTTCAAAATAAATAAGTGACAGAGGTTGTGTTGTGTCAAACCGCTCAGCTGACAGTGAGACAGATCCTCAGTCCTGAATCAGCTTTTATAAGATTGAGAATTAATGACAGGAACGATTTAAGATCTCATAAACAAATCAAGTTATTCTTGTTTTTTAATTTTCTTTCCCTGTCTTCATCCCTCTTCCTTTAGTGAACACCTTCCAGCAGCACTTTGCAGCTGCTATTGATTCGTTCCAAGATGCAGTGAAGTGCCTGTCGGAGTTTGTGTGCAACGCAGCTTTTCCTGACACCAGCATGGAGGCTATCAGACTCATACGACACTGCGCTAAATACGTCTCAGAAAGGCCACAGGTGGGAACAACTGAGTCGTGACTATACCGCTTTAATAAGAAAGGTTATTGTGTGACAAAGTAGTGATATTTTTTATCATGTGTAAATAGCACTATGTGGTTTCTTCAAAATGAATTATGTAATGTTTAACTTGGTGTGTCTCTCTCCAGGCCCTGAGGGAATACACCAGTGATGACATGAATGTTGCCCCTGGAGATCGGGTGTGGGTTCGTGGCTGGTTTCCCATTCTCTTTGAGCTCTCTTGTATTATCAACCGCTGCAAGCTGGACGTCCGGACCAGGTAGACAAACAGCTCCTCGTCATTTCACTCTAGGGACATGGTTCAACTTGTAGCACACTTTTAACTACATCATTAAGCTTCAGCAATGTGTCTTCCAAAACTTGTTGTCGCCCCTGGTGCTTGGCCTTCCCCTAGTTGTTGCAAAGACAAAAAAATATACAGGGTGTCTACAGGTCCTCAAAATGTCTTACAGTCAAATCTTTATTTATTAGGCCTTTAAATTATTAGATAGCCTTAAATTTGATTTTGTGAAGTCTTAATTTGAACTTATTTCATGACTAAGAAAAATATAATTGGTCCAAAAATCAGTCTTACATTTGGTTAAAAATCTTTTTGAAAGGATCTTAAGAAGCATTAAATGTCAATGTCAGATACCTCTAGACACCCTGATAGAAAAAGAAATAGAAGTAAACAATCATCATAGGATCCAACACAAAGTGTCAAAGCATGACTGGATAAAAGCACTGAACGTTAAACAGGACTAATTTCCATAGTGGTCCTGGCTGCCCCAGTCATTACTGTAGCTCTTTGAAACTCACCTTCACTTTTCAGAAACACACGCAAGGTCATCCAGTCATGTTGCTACCATCTGAAAAATATTGCTAGGTGAGGATCAATGCTGAATTTAATGACTCTCATACCATCATTCATGCTTTTATTTCCTCACAGTTGGACTAATTTAATGAGCTCTTAAAAGGTATAAATCAGAAATTGATTACTAGACTGAAAATTGTGCAAAATGCGGCAGCGAGACTCCTACCAAAAACCAGTTTTAATGACCTTACAAGTGTTTTACATATAAAGCTCTTCTTGGCCTGGCCCCAGAATATATATCTGACCTGCTGTCCCTTTACCAACCAGTGGGCAACCTGACATCCTCAAGCAGGAAGCTGCTGACTGTTCCCACCTCACACTTAAAGACTAAACGGGGCTGAGCATTTTGTATTTAATGGGAAAAGTTACAATTGGCATTCATTCCCTGGACAAATAACTCTATGGTGGTCACAGGTATATATTGGCTGCAGCACCAATGGCAGTGATGGAAGCATGACACCTGATTGGACGCACTAATTTTCACCCTTTTGCGGCGCAGTGCACCACCACCAAAACCACCCGTCTCCATCCAAGAGACGCTCAGAACATTGTTTAAATTAGTCTGCATTGATTTTGAAAGAGACTGAATAAGTGACAGGTATAAAACAAAGTACCAAATGTAACATTTTCTACTAACACTCAGTAACATTTGGCTTTTTGGCTTTAATAGGAAAGGTTACAGTTATCTTTATAAAAAGGCTTTCTTATCATTTCTCCTTTAATTTTTAGCATTATTTCTATTCTTAATTATTGAGATAGACTGCACTTTATTCTTGATGTTGCACTTATGCAATGCGCTGCTCTATCTCAAGTTTTAATTCATTCACCAATTGTGTTTTGATTTTTTTCCTCAGTGTTATATGATCTTTTTTTATCATCTGGTGTTTTTATTTTTTCCTCTGTTTTCCTGGTACCTGCCTTGTGGTAAAACATTACCTTTTATTTTATTGTTGTGTTTTAGATGGTAATTGTAAAGCCCTTTGTAATGCTGATGTTGATAAATGCTATATAAAAATGTTATTAACATTATTATTATCATAAATACACCTGAGCATTTGCTACATTACAGATTTTAGTGAAAGTTGACATGCAGAGTTAATAATTGTAGGTATTCTAACCCTTTATTAGTGTTTAAACAAGCATGGAGGACTAATAGACATCAGGACAGTGGAGAGAAGCAGGACTAAAGCCTCTCACTCACGTTGTTGTGCTCGTGATTGCACATTGTGCCCTCCTTCTTGCTGGTTGCAACAAGACTGACATGTCAGCTCTTTGTCTTTCCTTCTCGCAGAGGTCTCACAGTCATGTTTGAGATCATGAAGAGCTACGGTCACACCTTCGAGAAGCACTGGTGGCACGACCTCTTCAGAATCGTCTTCCGCATCTTTGACAACATGAAGCTCCCCGAGCAGCAGACAGAGGTCAGAGGTCACTGCCAGCAGGCCGTCAAGTCCCATGGCTGTTTATGTTTTAACATGGATGTCCTCTTTAGTGTTTTGGAGAGGCAGAAGACCTTAAAACCTGTTACGTCTGCTTTGCCCCCAGAAAACCGAGTGGATGACGACAACATGTAACCACGCTCTGTATGCCATCTGTGACGTGTTCACCCAGTTTTATGAGCCTCTCAGTGAAATCCTGCTGGCTGACATTTTCACACAGCTACAGTGGTGTGTCAGGCAAGGTGGGTGTTCAAATTCATGTAGACAGGTAAAGCAGAACACTCATCACTTCTCATCATGAGGCCGAGAGGTCAACACTCACTGTGCTTTGTAATATTTTACAGATTAGATGTTTTGGTGCTGTGCCAGTCTGACTCACTAGATGTAGACTGTAGCTATAAGCCTGCTATTGGCCAGCTATTTAGGCTGAACAGCTAGCTTCTAGTTAGGGACATCAGTGAGGGACTAACAAAAATTACTGGGGAAAGAAGGGGGGCTGAAACATGTTTCAACTTTACAAAACAAAACAAAAACAAAAACACTGAATTGCTACAATTGACTACAAGTAAGGAGAAGCTTATGAATAATTTAAAGGTCCAGTGCATAGGATTTACGGGCATCGATTGGCATAAATGGAATCTAACATTCATAACTATTTTTTGGTTCTCGAGCACACTTTGCACACAGGGGAAGTTTCAGTTGGGTGCAATTTGCAACCTCACCACTAGATACCACTAAATCCTACGCACTAGACCTTTATCCAAACAGTCAGCAACTGTAACAAGATTCTTTCATCCAAAGCTTTCAGTCCCTGACAGGTGAAACCTCAGTGAAGTTAATAACATTTGTATGTGTCAGATGTGCTCTGAAGTCATTACCTTCCTTCTACAGACAACGAGCAGCTGGCTCGGTCAGGGACAAACTGTCTGGAGAACCTGGTGATTCTTAATGGGGAGAAGTTCAGCCCTGAGGTCTGGAACATCACCTGCTCCTGTATGCTGGAGATCTTCCAAAACACCAGCCCTCATGCGTAAGTCCTGAACCACTGCACTTTCAGCCAGAGATCAAGTATATTTAGTTTCAGTTCACTCAGCTGAGAAATGTTGATGAAACTGCACATGAACTCCTTGATAGTAGTGTTGATACAGTTAGTTAATTAACGGTTTTGAAGACAAAAAACACAGCTGTCCAGTCAAATAAAGCACTCCAGGAGGTAGTTACTAGTCACATTAAGACTGGGGCAAATGGGGTTAATGCCAGGTACACACTGCACAATAATTAAGCTGATTTTGGGTCAGATTTCCCCCTCACAACATTTGTCAGCAAAGCCCTGATTTTTTTGATGGTTCTAAAGATCATCCACCGATTTCACATCACAAATATTCAACATGTTCAGCATCTACAATCTGATATCCTGTTATGAGGGGGGACCCCTGAGGATCACCTGTGGTCCTGAAGGTGTCAGAGGGTGTTATAGCTGTAGTTGGTAATGTTTATGAAAATAACTTTTTTTGTCACATTTGCTGAAACTGTCACTCCATCCACACAGTGTGAGTACAGGAGACCAATAGTCCGTTAAAAAGTCACGTTCCTCCTCTTCCTCCAAGTGCTTCTAATTACATTTGCTAGAGTCTACTGTGGCTGAAGGAAAATAACCAATCAGAGTCAAGGAGTCTCTAATGCAGTTGTCAATCATGTTAATCACAGCGGTCAAATTAGGCAGCGCTCATCAAATATGAATCAAGATTCTGTTACTGTATTGGCAATGTCTCATCTCAGACATTTTCAGAAATATATTTTAGTTTCTCTTTAGGTGTAAAAGTTTGTATCCCCAGTCGCCATATTTAAAACAGATGAGCCAAAACAAAGCACCAAAAAACAGAACAAAAAAAAAAACACTTGAGGTGAGAAATAGACAATACAGTAACAGAATCTTGTTTCATATTTGATCAGTGTTGCCTAGTGTGACTGTTTGTTCCCAGGTCACAAGCAGTGACTGACATGATTGACAGCTGTGTTAGAGACTCCTTGGCTCTGATTGGTTTTCGTTCAGCCACGGTGGATTCTTGCAAATGCCATTAGAAGCACTACGAGGAGGCAGAGGAACATGATTTTTTTCCACAGACTATCTGTCTCATGTACTACTATGTGGATATAGTGACAGTTTCGGCAAATACGACAAAAATTATTTAATAAAAATGACAAACTTCAGTGTTAACACAATATGAAATGGAATTTAACTCAGCTTGCACTGGGATATGTATAGTCCGTGTTTATGCTGTCCCCATGACTTTGTCTATGTTTCTTTCTTTTTTCTTGATGAAATTTCTAGAAATGGCAGTGCAAAAACGACCTCATCTGTTGCCCGCCATGTTTGTTTACCCTAAGGTCACGTTTGATTGCAAGAGATTTATGAAATTTGCGGTTTTGAAAGTCGGGACTCTGATTGTTTGTGAATGGAATCTGTTAGTGTGTGGCTGTTTTGGCCAAATTGTTGCCCTCCACACAGTATAGCAACAAAACTACTACATCGATTATTACATGTTCTTATGTGTGGGGTCTCACAATTTCAACATCTGTTAAGATATGAAAAGTCTTTTAGCGTGGGCCAGCCTTAAAAACGTTATTGTGCTTCTGTGACAGGATGTTATCACAATGATTTCTGATCTGTCATTTTGTTTTCTTTTCAGTTTGTTGACTTGGCGACCGGCTGGACAAGAAGAAGAAACCACAGATGGCAAGCATTTTGTAAGCAAAAAAAAACCCAATTACACTTATATAACTTAAAAACATTTACAGTGTTTAAAACAGCAGATGCTTTATACTTGGTCTGAAACATGATGAGTACCTGTACTGTTATATTTCCTTCTAACCTTCCCGTCACATCAGAAGTGTGACACTAACCTGTGATGTCCATGATTTTTGTTTTTGTCCAATTCCAGGATGCTGATTTTGACAGCCTGTCCCAGAGCAGCTACGACAGAGCTCTATCTGAGAGAGGACACAGCCAGATGTCCAGTGACGACACCTGGAAGAGCAAGTCCAATGCTAGTGAGTACACAGCATTCACACAGTCGTACCCTGTCGCTGACTGTCACTGTAACATTGGACTGCCATTGTCAGTCTTGTCCCTCATAAATGCTCACATCTCTACACCACTTGTTTTTTTCTGTTCTCCAGGAGTTTCAGACCAGAAGCTGTTTGCAGGCCTGCTGATCAAATGCGTGGTACAGCTTGAACTAATCCAGACAATAGACAACATTGTCTTTTACCCAGCAACCAGCAAGAAGGAGGATGCTGAGAACATGGCTGCTGCACAAGTACGTTACAACAGCTACCATATGGATAGATTTTACCCCAACATTGCCCTTTTGTCATCACTTTTTTTAATATATTTGAGGAAACTGTTGCAGTTGAAATGGTGAAAGAGAGGAAGAAAGGGTTGTGAAAGCTCATATATTACTCCTGACCTTCTATGAAATGCTGCGCACTAATCTGAACTATAGGGGGAAGTGATCAACTGTCAGATCAGACCTACGTACACAAAAAAATCTTAATAGTACAACCCTGTGTGATCTTAAATTGTCAGATATATTTTGTTAAAGTCTCAAACTGTCCTCTCCTTAGCGAGATGCTCTGGAAGAGTCGGAGGCTGAGGGAGTCTACGCAGGCTCAGAACAGGGTATGTACAGACACATGACCTCTGCGCACCTCTTCAAGCTGCTGGATTGTCTGCTTGAGTCGCACACCTTCGCCAAGGACTTCAACTCCAACAACGAACAGAGGACAGCACTCTGGAGGGCAGGTGAATAGAAAGCAAAAGTCCTCCATGATATTAATTTATGACAAAATTCATAAAATTGTATCCTTATCCTTTGCACTTCTTCTGTTTAGTGTGACTTAGAGTAGAATGTCTTTGAAACATGTCATGGAAAGTCCGTCTGTTATAAGACGATGTCTTAAATATATTTTCTAACCTCCTTGCCTTAAAGAGGCAGTTCATCCCCAAAATCAAAAATTTTGGCGATCATTACGTGGTTACTCTACACCCACCAATCATTTTACTGCACAGAAGGAAGCATGCATCTAGTCATGGCTGAGAGGCTCGTGACAGTGAAAGATGTAAACATTAATGGTGTCCTCCTCAGCTTAGCTGTAACGATAGCTAGCTCCTTCTGCATGGTGATACAGTTGGCAGGTGTAGACATCTCGATGGCTAAAATTTCCAGCACTCATCAACTCACACCAAAACAATCTAAACTGATAAAAAGCACTACAGGTAAGAGAATAAATATGTATTTTTGATTTTGGGGTGAACTGTCCCTTTAAAAAGTCTCAAATGAAGCATAACATGTTTTTACAGGTTTTTACAGTTTACAAAGTAATGTTAAACTTTATAGCCAGTGCAAAGTCTGATTCATAAACATTCAGGAGAATGCTGTGTTTTTGCCTCAGATGAACCTGTAAACTTTATATTGTTGGATGACCTCTCTGCTGAGAGAATGATTTCTTTGTGCTTTGAGTATTAAGGCCACGCTGAAAATATTTTGAAAGTTTTCCTGCTTACCAGAAACCTACGGACTTCTTGTTACCTCTTGGGGGCTTTTTCTGCCTTTATTAGAGAGTTGATGACAGAGATATGACAATGTCTTAAGGAGAGGCAGAGAGAATGATATGTAACCAAGGTCCCGGGCCAAACTTGGACCAGAGACATTGTCATTCTTTGCCAGGGCCTTAAACCCTAAGGCCAGACAGGCCTTTATTTAATGGACATTAGAGATACAGAGAGGACATTAAAGGAGAGAGATATGACATCCAACAAAGGCCAGATTTTAACAAGGGATGTTGCATTATGTCCTAACCACTAGGCCCTGCAAATCCCTCTGGTGATGTTTTTTAACCAGTGATTGTCTCTGTCTTGCCCTCAGGCTTTAAAGGGAAATCTAAGCCCAACTTGTTGAAGCAGGAGACCAGCAGTCTTGCCTGCAGCCTGAGGATCTTGTTCAGGATGTACTCTGACCTGCAGCTGCAGGACTCCTGGCCTGACATCCAGACACGCCTGCTGCTGTGAGTACAACTGACGACAATAGCGTCAGTCCTTTTGTGGGAATTGTTGACAATAAAACAACACAGCATCACCAGACTTGTCCTTAAATTTTTTTTATATTTTCCTTTTTTTTCCAATCTAATAGACTGAAAATGCATTTAAGAAAATACATTTGATGCCCACTCCTTCAGCAAGTCACCAGGTTGTTGTTGCCTGGTTAAACGTTGAAGTGTAGATAAATAATCTGTGTAATTTTTTTTTTTTTTTTTTTAAATTATTTTTTAGGGCATTTTTTGCCTTTAATTGATAGGACAGTGAAGTGTGAGAGGGGGGAGAGAGAGAGGGAGAGACACGCAGCAAAGGGCCACAGGCTGGACTCGAACCCGAGCCGCAGCCTTGTACATGGGGCGCCTGCTCTATCCACTAAGCCACCGACGCCCCATAATCTGTGTCACTTGCAGAAAAGTGCAGCACTGATGTTTGTTACTTGTTGTGTAAGCTGTTTTGACACATGGCTCATACCTCATAATATATTTATGAACTGTACGCTGTGTGTGGATTTTGTAGAATATATTGGCGTGCTAGAGCCTGGTACAAATCACCTTTTGTTTTTCACTGAGCAGCTGCACCAGAGCAGTTGACTCATGTATTACATCAAGAATACGTATGTGTGGTGATATTCATTTAATAACTGTTTTTTGTGCTTTAGTAGTGTTGGTCTGCTCTCCTATGATAACAATAATAAAAAAAAATAATAATTGTACTGTAGTAGTTCTGGTAGTTAGAGATGCACTACATCAGTGTTGTGTTGGTTATAATCCTCTATATATATGTTGCATTGTCTGTCTCAGCGTGTGTAGTGAAGCTCTGGCCTACTTCATCAGTCTGACCTCAGAGAGCCACAGAGAGGCTTGGAACAGCCTGCTGATGTTACTGCTCACCAGGACACTACGGCTGCCCGATGACAAGGCAGGAACACAAACACCCAAACACACACATGCACAGAGCAAACTTCCAAATCTAAACCTATTTTTGCAAACATTATGGAGCTCTAAATCTGAACCAGGATCAGAAATTGAAGACAGGCCGGGGTCAAAGATACTTATAACATCCATTAGTGAAAAAGGATAGAAGCCAATAATGTGCATGACTCCTTTTATATTACCTTTTTTATTTATTTCATATTTTTGTGATTATAAACACTTTTGTGAGTTGTCACCTATGAATCATGCACTCTCAGTGTGAGTGCATGATTCACTGATGACTCACGGGAGCCCATGACTCAGGGTGTCTTTTCAGGGCATTTTAGACCCAAACTATATCAGTTTTTACTTATGAAAACAACCTATCATGCATCTCCAAGCAGCAAGAAATGTTGGCGCCATGCAGCCAACTTTGGAAGAAAAAAAGCCAATACCACACAAACCACTGCATCAACAAAAAATACTACAGTATTGTTAAAGTGGACTGGCTGGCACCGGCCTCTTGTGCAAGGCCTGCTGTGAATTTTAAGTTGGTAAAACAAATCTTAGTACTAAATATTGTGTTTATTTGCCTGAATGTTATTTCGTAATTCAGTGAAATTGCCATTAAAATAAGCAAAGTACAGCAAAAACATGCATCAGCGAAGACAGAAATGGCCTCTCAGCATATTAATTCAATGCCCTGCTGTGAACTCTGTGGCCTCCCAGCAGTGCCCACACAACACAGGGCAACCGCCCTTCCTCTCTCTGCTGTGGATATTCTAAAGACTTCCAAATACACTGTCAGTGTGTATGGCTGGACCCAAATACTCAACTATTTGGATACCTGTTCGTTGGGGAGGTATTCAGTTTTCAAGTTTGGGATTTGGATATTTTTGTTTTGTTTTATTTAAGAATATTATTCAACAAACAAAAATAAACAATTGTGCAACAGCAGTTGAAATAGTGTGAAATACCTCCACACAGCAGATTCTCTCCTTCGCTCCATGACGTATGACGTAGCTCGCGTCGCAATAGATTTATAGGGAAAGGATCGCCTCAGGTATAGGTTGCATTTTCCGATACCCAATCCATCTCTTCAGGGCCAATATTCGATCCAGATATCAGATCGGTGCATCCCTATCCGTCAGTGCTGCATCTAATTTGTGTGTGCTGCGTCATGTTCAGTTCAGGTTTTAACAGAAAGAAAATAAGTGCCCTTCTTTCTTAGATTTTTGCTGGAGGGGAGATTTGACATACTTAAACCACAACTGTCTCGGGACAAATATTGCACACAGCTTTGTCCATGTTTGCTGGCTCACCTTTATCATTGGAACTAAATCGAAAATACTCCCAAACAGGGACAGAGACACATTTCTTTTTATTTTAAGTCCTGTAACATTATCCCCACCACTCACAGTCGCCATTTTTCTCAGCAAACTGTTCCACCAGTTAAATCGGAAACAGGAGTGTCTGTTATTTTTTTTACTGTATTGCTAATCATATTCCCGGGATTTCTAAGTACCCCATTATACCTTAATAGCTTAATACTGCCCCAAGCCAGGGGGATAGCCCTGGGTACGTCTTTGGTAATTCCTTTGGTTAGCGGGGATTTAAAGCACATACAGAATGTCACTTGGTTGAATCGTGGTGCTAATTAATATTTTCTCACTTTGTTCTTCTTTTTCAGTTCAAGCCCCATGCCTCCTGCTACTACCCCCAACTGTGTGAAATGATGCAGTTTGACCTGATCCCCGAGCTGCGAGCAGTCCTCAGGCGCTTCTTCCTGCGCATCGGCCTCGTCTTCCACATCGCTGCTCCCGAGGTGGCACCCGCCAGAACTCCCACATCCTAGAATGAGTGGGTGCAGGGTTGGGTGGAGGGACGGATGGAGAAACGGAGATGACACTGATGAGTAGATCACAGGTGGACACATAAGAGACTTTCCCCCTCTTCTGGACTGGAACAGATTACGGAGGGGCTGTAACGGCAGGAGGGAGACAACCAAGACTGTAGCTTTTCTGTCTCAGTTCAGGAGTTTGCATTAAAGTGTTCGGCTTTTCTACTGCACTCAGCTTGCAGAAAAGTTTCACCCTGTCCTTCCTCCCTTTTTTCTCTCGGGGATGAACAGCACTGTGACCGGCACTCTCTGCTGACTGTTGTCATTCATCATCCCCCAAGAACTGTAAACAAATAATTTATTGATATTGTACCTGATTTTGATGGTTTGTTTTTTCTGTTGTTTTTTTTTGTTTTTTTTTTAACAAAAAAAGTGTGTCTACATGCTGAAAGCAAATGAACGGAAGCATTGAATTTGAGGAACCTTACATTTACCCTTTGTGAAAAATCTCTTGGCCGCCTGTGCCTGTTATAAAATTATAACATCATCAGTTTCGCCCTCATAGTGAGTTTGGTGATCTAATCAAAATATCTTGTGATATCTCACATGTTGATGCCCATCACAAAGTAGTGTTTGCCACTTTAATGTTTATGTTCCTTTTTATGTCTGCATTGTTTGGTAGTGGGCTCGAGAGGCTGAAACTCTCAGCTGCGGGAGAAAACAATCTGCATCTCTTACAACACTATGGGAGATGTAATGCGGCTTTGTTTGTGACGCGTCCCCTCTCTGTGACACAACCGTCCTGTCATCTTTATAATTCCTTGCCTGTTAAAGAGATTTTACTTATTTATTTTGCTCACTTGCTTTAATTTGTTTTATGATTATTTTTCAGCATGATTGCTGGTTTACAATGAAAGGTTGGTTGAAAGACTTGCTACTTCCCTCTACCATGCATTCCTCTGTGTTGACCCAGTAAGCCTTACACTGAAGGACTTAACATGGAGTCAACTCCTCTTGGCTTTAGAATTATAGCTGGCTCATAAAACCCCCCACTAATCCATCAGTTGGCCCTGTAAGGTGACACAGTGGTTGTCCATTTCCCACAGTCTTTTGCACATCCGTTGCCGACAGTTTTCTCATGTATTAATACCACCCAGTGCATCACCTTGCTCTGGATGGTTGGAACGCCTGTCAGTGTTGTCACATTCAACAGTAGAGTTTAACCACAGAAAGGTTCAGGAACAGAGCGAAACCAAAACACACATCTACAGAGACACAGGAATCTCTGTAACTCTGGATCCCTCATAGGTTATTCCATGCCTTTTTTAAAAAAGAAGGATGTATGTAATTATTTAAAGTGCATTTAAATATTTTTTGAGAAGCATTCCTTCCCTCGCAACTATGGATGTCTACTTTTCTTCCCTAATGCTAGGGAATATATAAATATATATATATACAGTAAATGAAAAAAAGCAGACTGTAAAGTTTTCAATGTAAGATACATAGAAATGAAAGTGCTATACGGTTCTATACATAATATTGTGATGTAATCTTCCAAACATTTGGTGAAGTAATCAATAAACCCGAATTCTGATCCACTCTAGTGACTATTGATTCAGTTTGAAAGTGCTTTAGAGCTTTCTCACATAAACCTTTTCCACCAAATCAGCTCTGAATCTTGAACCGGTTGTGTTCAGGCCTCTTGGAAACTTGGTGCTCTCCAGCGAAGCAGATCAGAGCCATTGTAATCAAGGATTTGTCATCAGTGGAGGGCGTTGCACAATGCACAATGGATGCAAACAGTAGTAGCAAGATGGCAGATCACATAGATTGCCCGTGAACTTTTGTTCTGCAATTATAGATATTTGTTTTTAACCAAAAATAAAATGGACTGCCTATTAATGAGACCACTGCAAGCTCTTTTTCTGATGATTTCTCACTCGATTTCTTAATTATTGCCTTTTCCATCCTCTCCATCCAACCTGTAGAATATGATGTGCCCACTGATGTCGTCACGGTTCGGCTTCAGGTGAAGGAAAACCTGCTCGTTTTTGGTTCCACCTGGGAACCAACTTTTCAGGTCCTGAACCAATTTATTTTTGGTCACAATACTCAGAATGGATTAAAATTGGATGTGGGAACTGAAACGGAACCTGTTCCTTGTTGAGTGAGAAGGAATAACGCTGACTTTTCAGACAAAGCTGATACTAACAAGATATAAAGGTTGGCTGGTTCTAGGGCTGTGGTAATTTGCATACTGGCTGGCAGAGGTGCGACCAAGTCACTATTTTGCAAGTCACAAGTCAGTCAAGTCTTTGCACTCAAGTCCCGGGTCAAGAAAGGTTCCGAGTCAAGTCCCAAGTCCTTAACTTTGAGTTTCAAGTCCTAAACAAGCCATTACACACTCTTTGCCCAATTAAATGTCATTCAATTAAGTAATAAGATTAAATTTACAACACAAAAAATAGAATGTGTTTAAAAAATTGTATTTATTTGTTAAACAAGTACACCTGAAGCTACTCTGAAAAAAGGGCCAATGCACTTTCATATAGCATCATTAACCAATAACTCAACAGACCGAATTGCATCTGTTTCTGTCCTGTCTTGCTGTATTTAACTTATCTCATATTGGAGAGGTGTATTTAACTTTTTCTCCCTAGGTTGGTTTGGCGGAAGGTTTCAAGTATTTTCAAGTCAAAACGCCCAAGTCCAAGTGAAGTCAGGACTCATTTGTGTTTAAGGTCTAATCGTGTTGCAAGTCTTACTTGGTTTTGTCAAGTCGAGTCTAAAGTCATGAAATTTGTGACTCAAGTCTGACTCGAATTCATTTGTGAATCGAGTCCACACCTCTGCTGGCTGGTATAGCTTCAAGGAATACACCCACAAAACTATTTGTAAATCAGTTTTTCATGCTGTTTCCTTGAATTCACATTCAAAACATTGTTCTTTACTTCCCAAACACATGTATTTTAAAAAAAATCCATAGTATTTAAAACTGAACTGAATGTAAAACATATCTATGCTCTCTTCAAAGCCAGACAAAATGCATGTGTTTGAGATGTACTGAGCATATGACTGGATAAATGAGACTTAGATTATACTGCATGAGTTGTGTAAGAGCTTGTAAACAGATGTTTGATACAGTTTTGCTTTAAACTTGGTCCCCAATCACTAAATCAATATGTGTGCTGTCTTCCTGGAGGCATGTGAGAAAAACTTGTCTTCAGAATTCAAGGAAACACGGCATGACCAATTGATCTACAAATGGTCATATTGTGGGTGAAGTATTCCTCTAACTGAACAGAATGGAGCTGTCATTAATGTTAGTAGTTAGACCTGTGTTTTCCTGCTATGAGGAGACTAAATATGATTTGCTCAAGGGCACTGAAGTTTCAGTTTTAGCCCTGCATGTTTGCTTGATAAGTCATTAAGTTAGTTTTAGTTAATTTTATGAGAGTTGAAAGCACGGACAGGGATTTCCAGCGTTTCTGTATAAAGATGTCCACAGGGTGGCACTGTGCTCAAACTGGTAGTCGGCCTGAAGTGCGCTACATTTTGGGGTAACAAAGGTTACCATGGAGACCTGTCACATCCTTTGTTTTAGCAAGGAAAGCGGAAAGCTACCTAACAGCTGCTACATGGAGCCCTACTAAGGAAACCCTCATGTTATTTATTCTTAAACCAGTAACTAGAGAGGCAAACAATGAGGAGTGTTGCGCCCAACTATCAAGTTTCATAACTCACGTAGGGGTCAGACACCCCAACGAACATAAACTAGCACAGCTTTAGCTAGTTGGTGCTAACGCTAGCTAGGACTTTCTTGCTGCTAGACGGTTCAGCTAGCCCTCACGTAAAGTCGGGAAAGTGACTCGTAAATACCACTCTCCGTTGAGAGGAGTACATTTTGCATCCTAATGCAATTGTTGCATTCTCTTGAGATGAAGCTGCCACTACCTGGCTGGATTGAACAGAGGCAGGCTGGCATGAAGTTACGTAGAGAGCGTAGCTGTGGGCGGATCTGTGATGACCAGTAGCTGGCTACGAGATCTCCGTCGGCGACGTTAGCCAGACGGGCTAGCAATGACGGATAGGATTACTCCTGCCGGGGTCTGGATTGTGAGCCACCAGACATGATTTTATGGAGACCACCCTACAAGTAAGAGTTTCTACACAAGCGACAAATGTAATTTTAACGACTGCGGTAGTTGTATGGGGAAATTATGAAGGAAAGCCCAGTAAAGAGGGTGGATTTTCCTCTCTGAATGCAGCTACTTAGAGGAAGGAGGTCGACAGATTTAGAAGAATGCGTAACCATCATTTTGTTTCCTGCTAGCTTTTCCCGTCAAATCTCATTCAGTTGAATGCAAAGTATACTTGCAAACTGTGGTGAACGATTTATCACTGTAAATACACATTTTGGGTTTACGGTCTACGAATGCGCGACTACACCAAGACTGTGTATATGACAGTGACAGCCATCTTCAGTAGCCTACATGTTCAGTAGCTGCCTACAGTATCGTTAGTACAGGCGGAGCTGTGTGTGTGTGTGTGTGTGTGTGTGTGTGTATGTCTGTAATGCTTTGCTTAAGAATTAGTTTTGTAATGATTGCTGGTGTGGTGAAGTCTATTTAGAGCTGGGACAGAGATTGGTGTCGCAAAGAGGCATTTTTATGTGTTGCGATTAAAGGTCCAAGCCCAGTGTTTATGACGGGAGAATGGAATGGCCTGTGATGCCTTCAGGGACTCCCACTAAACCTGGTCATCCGTCAGTAAAATCAGTTTTAAAAGTGTGCCTTTAATTGGAAACACCAAAATATTTGTTGAACAACGCAATAATATGTAGTTCACTTTATCTGCAGTGACCAGAGAGCTAGAAAAGAGAAGTGTATTAGTCTCGTCATTTATATTTCAGTTAATACAATTAACACAATAAGCTTTAGCAGATAAAACATTAACGGCGAGTGACATACGAGACATATGAGGTTTTATCATATGAGTATTCTTGGGTGTAAAGGCCATTATAAACGACTATTCTCGGCATGATCGTGATCCAGATATTCAGACATCTCTGAAGGCGTCGTGTTACGTAATAGAGGAGGGCTGGGCATATAGAGAGTGGAGGGGGAGTCGTGGGAGGATGCGTGCAAACACACACGCTCCCTCGCAGTGGCATTTTTACATTCTTGGATTTTGACAGCTTTTGTACAGACAGACTGACAGAGTCGGGACGTTTTGACAGAGAGAAACACGCAACGAACCGAGGATAACTCAATTTGATTCACTACTGCTGGTAAGACGCTAATGTTAGTCTATGTATCTTATATGAGGTCTTCATATCTGAGACTGCGATCGAAATATGAATTAATGTTTAATCTGGACATTTACATCGAAACACACACGGGGCTCGCACAACAAGCACACGCAGCCTACAGAGGCAGAACAGTATCGCTAACATGTCCTGGTGGGTTTATCTGTAAGTTACAGTCCAGATTCCACCGTAATAAACACGGACTCAGCCTCCGGTTTGCTTTATGTGAGTTAATATGTAAGCGATTGTCATCACAAATGTTGCATTCAGGTGCAACATTTCGCTTCTACTCGTTGGTATTCCTGTAGGAGCTGCGTGGTGTTTACATCAGTGCTGGACTATTAAAACCCGAGCCACGTGCTGCTGGTAGCTTGGGACCATGTGGCCGTTGTAAACACTGCTGCCTTGTGCCTCTTTATCTGCGTTAACAGGCTGTTTCTGTTTCTTTGACTACTAATTAGGGCCCAAACAGTCTGCTGGACGTGTGTTTGTGAGAAGTTGGAGTTTTGGGGCTTGATTAAACCACAGCACTTTGCCTGTTTGGCCATGAACCAGTAGAGACTGTGTCGGGCTTCCATTGTGCTGGTAGGAAGAGTAGAGTAGCTTATGTATTATGTAATGTCACCAGCATTATTTGCATGGAGCTCCCCTTCCATCCGCCTCATACAGTAGTTATTAGGTCCAAACACTTACCAGCTAAAATGTCAATATTGTTATGAGAAAGGTCAGGTTCCCACATGATAAGCAGCAGCCGTTTGGGATCATCAGGAGGTCACGTTCCTCCCACATCTTTTTGTGTGCCTGTATACACCAGTTAATAGGATAGCGACAGCAGAAGATGAGGGAACGGCTAGATTGTCTTTTGTTTCAGGGATATAGGAGCACTTAGACTCAATTTACTGGCTGCAGGATATTGACATAAATTTCTATACACCCTATCAGTAATATTAGGCTGTGTGAAAATACGTTTTATAGCACCTTAACCAAAGCTAACAATAGTGCACCGAGTTTTTATCAATAACTGTAACACTGGACTCAACAACAGGATATTTGTGACAGTGTCAGAAGGCAGGCGGGAGCATTGTGTTGACGGACACTTGTCCATGTGACTCCTCAGTAATATACATATGCTGTTTGTAATTTTCTGCCTGTCTCTTTTTAACATATGAACCAGGGCTGCAACTCACAGTTCTGTTCATATTCAATTAATCTATAAAGATTATTTTCTTGATTAAATGTTTTGTCACAACTGTCAGAAAATAGTTAGGGATGCACGATATTGGATTCTTGCCGATGTACGACATGCCAGTGCTCATTTTGGATGACACTAATATATGCACATGTGTTTTTCCACCTAATTGCAGAGAACATCAAGTCTCTCCTGTAGTGGAATTAACATATTATTGTGATGGCCCACTTGTGGCAGACGTAGACATAAAACATAATGCTTTTCAGAATGTACACATTCTTTGGGCAAAAAAAAAAGAAAAATACTTCAATTTAGGTTACATGTTAAGCTTGCCAGATATATTTTATGTTTACATTTTTAAACAAACTGCAAAAAAAATTCATCCTACTTTCACAGGCTTGGATGACACT